CAATTGTGAACTGAAATTGATCACTTGGAATAGTGAGATGGCATTGGTACATGCCACCTTGATGGGATTGAATTGGAATCCCCTGGTATGTTTCTAACTCTACCATTTGGGGCAAGTCAGCTTGAGCATGTCCCAAATTATATATCTCTTCCCTCTCTTATTCCCACTCTTATGTTTAACAGGGATCACATTTCAGTTAATTTTCAACACTTAAGAATAACTGTGTATTAATTACAGAATTAAACCAGTCATATTAAGTAGAACAGACAAAAAAACTACTAAGAGGGATAATGTATTAAGTTGTTCATTAACAGTCAGGGCTATGCTGATCAAGTCACCATTTCACTTCAACAGGTTTCCTTTTTGGTGTTCAGTCAGTTGTCACCGATCAGGGAGAACATATGGTATTTGTCCCTTTGGGACTGGCTTATTTCACTCAGCATGATGTGTTCCAGATTCCTCCATTGTGTTGCAAATGACTGGATTTCGTTGTTTCTTACTGCTGTATAGTATTCTAAAGAGTACATATCCCATAATTTCTTTATCCAGTCTACCGTTGATGGGCATTTAGGTTGGTTCCAGGTCTTAGCTATTGTGAATTGAGCTGCAATAAACATTAGGGTGCAGACCGCTTTTTTGTTTGCCAATTTAAATTCCTTTGGGTAAATCCCAAGGAGTGGGATGGCTGGGTCGAACGGTAGGGTTATCTTCAGGTTTCTGAGGAATTTCCAGACAGGCAGAGTTAGACAGTGAGAGAGAGAGAGAGAGAAAGGTCTTCCTTCTCCGTTGGTTCACCCCCAAGTGGCTGCTTCGGCTGGTGTGTTGTGGCCAGCGCTTTGCACCGATCCAAAGCCAGAAGCCAGGTGCTTCCTCCTGGTCTCCCATGCAGGTGCAGGGCCCAAGCTCTTGGGCCATCCTCCACTGTACTCCCAGGCCACAGCAGAGAGCTGGCCTGGAAGAGGAGCAACCAGGATAGAATCCTGCACCCCAACCAGGACTAGAACCCAGTGTGCTGGCGCTGCAGGCAGAGGATTAGCCTAGTGAGCCATGGCACCGGCCATCTGGAAGCTTTTAAGATCCCTGATGTTTTGAAATTTCAGAAGATATGCCTCATGGGGACCTTTTTTATTTATTTATTTATTTTTTATTTTTTATTTTTTTGGTCTTCATTGAGTTGGATATGTATAGGCTCTTTTAATCTGTGAATTCATTTCCTTTTCTTGAATGTTTTCCTTGTTTAATTTCTTTCCTCTGTTTTCTTTTCCTGAAATATATGTTATTTGGATATTGGACCTCCTGGCCTGATCTTTATTTTCATATCATTTTTCATCCTATTTTGTTTCACTTCTTAAACTCTAATTGTATATTTTTGTTTCTGTTATTATATTTGTAATTTCCATAAGTTTTTCTTTATTCTCTGAATGCTTCTCTTTAGTAGCATCTTTTTTTTTTTGGACAGGCAGAGTGGACAGTGAGAGAGAGAGAGAGAGAGAAAGGTCTTCCTTTGCCGTTGGTTCATCCTCCAATGGCCGCCGCGGTCCGCGCGCTGCAGCCAGCGCACCGCGCTGATCTGATGGCAGGAGCCAGGTACTTATCCTGGTCTCCCATGGGGTGCAGGGCAGAGAGCTGGCCTGGAAGAGGGGCAACCGGGACAGACTCCGGTGCCCCGACCGGGACTAGAACCCTGTGTGCCGGCGCCACAAGGCGGAGGATTAGCCTAGTGAGCCGCGGCGCCGGCCTTTAGTAGCATCTTATTAATATTTCCTGGCAGTAGACTCATTCATCTACTTTCTTTTTTTTTATTTATTTTTTTATTTTTGGACAGACAGAGTGGACAGTGAGAGAGAGACAGAGAGAAAGGTCTTCCTTTTGCCGTTGGTTCACACTCCAATGGCCGCCATGGCTGGAGCGCTGTGGCCAGCGCAGCGCACTGATCCAAAGGCAGGAGCCAGGTGCTTCTCCTGGTCTCCCATGGAGTGCAGGGCCCAAGCACTTGGGCCATCCTCCACTGCACTCCCAGGCCATAACAGAGAGCTGGCCTGGAAGAGGAGCAACCAGGACAGAATCTGGCGCCCCAACGGGGACTAGAACCCCGTGTGCCAGCGCCGCTAGGCGGGGGATTAGCCTGTTGAGCCGCAGTGCCGGCCATCATTCATCTACTTTCAAGAATTCTCCCTGTATTGTCTCCGCTTCTTCCGAGTACCTCTTTGTATTTATTTATTTTGCTCATTCAGGTTATTATATTGTTTTTCTGTGTCTTTGGTTAGTATCAATTTCAAGAGTGAGGCACAAACAGCTCACTGGAGTTCTTTCTGGGAGAATGGCTTATGATCATCATAAAAGAGTTAGCTATTTCCTTTTTTTCTAATTTATTTATTTTATTTATTTGAAAGGCAGAGGGATGAGAGAGAATGGAAAAGGAAATTTTCCATCTACTGGTTCACTTCCCAAAGATCTCTACCTCTCTCCGTAACTCTTTCAAATAAATAAAATAAATATTTTTAAAATTTCTTTTAATTTCCTTTTGTTTCTTGTGTGGTGGGGAGGGGACAGAGATTTAGCCAGTGGTTCCCTCCCCAATATGCCTGGACCAGACTGAAGCCACGAGCTAGGAACTCACATGGATGACAGGGACCCAAGTCCTTGAGCCATCACGGCTCCCTCCCAGGATGCATATTAGAAGGTAGCAGAGCTGGCACTTGAATCCCGTCCTCCAATATAGGATGAAGTGTTCCAAGCAGCATCTTAACCACTGTACCAAATACCCACCCTCATTTTTTTAAAGATTTATTTATTTGGAAGTCAGAGTTACCCAGAGAGAGAAGGAAAGGCAAAGAAAGAAGGTCTTCTATCCGTTTGTTCACTCCTAATTGACCGCAAAGGCTGGAGCTGCGCCGATACAAAGCCAGGTGCAGGGGCCCAAAGATCTAGGCCATCTCCCACAGCTTTCTCAGGCCATAGTAGAGAGCTGGATTGAAAGTGGAGCAGCTGGGACTTCAGCTGGCAGCCATATGGATGCCAACACTGCAGGCTATGTCTTTACCCACTATGCCACAGTGCCGACCCCAACCCATCCTCATTTTTTTTTTTTTTTTTTTTTTTTTTTTTTTTGACCGGCAGTTAGACAGTGAAAGAGAGACAGAGAGAAAGGTCTTCCTTTTCTGTTGGTTAACCCTCCACCCCCAAATGGCTGCTACGGCCAGTGCACTGTGCCAATCCGAAGCCAGGAGCCAGGTGCTTCTCCTGGTCTCCCATGCAGGTGCAGGGCCCAAGCACCTGGGCCATCCTCCACTGCCTTCCTGGGCCACAGCAGAGAGCTGGACTGGAAGAGGAACAACTGGGACAGAATCCAGTGCCCCGACTGGGACTAGAATCTGGGGTGCTGCCACTGCAGGTGGAGAATTAGCCTAGTGAGCCGCGGCGCCGGTCTATCCTTTTTTTTTTTTTTTTCCAAAAATTATTTACCTGAGGGTCAGAGACATGAGAGAGAGAGACATGAGAGAGAGAGAGAGAGAGAGAGAGAGAATGCTCCCGTCTATTGTTCACTTCCCAAATGTCCACATGTTCCTAGTAACTCAATCCAGACCTCCCAACAGATAGTGGGCATCCTAACCAGTGTCTTAACTGCCAGCCAACACTTGTCCCATCCAATTTATTCTTTAAAAAAAAAAAAAAGATTTATTTACTTATTTGACAGAGTTAGCATGGAGAGAGAAGGAGAAGCAGAGTGAGAGAGAGATCTTCCATCTGCTGGTTCACTCCTCATTTGGCTGCAGCAGCCAGAGCTGCACCGATCCGAAGCCAGGAGCCAGGAGCTTCTTTTGGATCTCCCATGTGGGTACAGGGGCCCAAGGACTTGGGCCATCTTCCACTGCATTCCCAGGCTATAGCAAAAAGCTGGATTGGAAGTGGAACAGCTGGGACTTGAACTGGCGCCCATATGGGATGCCGGCACTGCAGATAGCGACTTTACCTGCTACGCCACAGCGCCAGCCCCCAATTTATTCTTATTTTTAAAAAATGAGGATGGGCACTTGGCTAATCATCTGCCTGCGGCGCCGGCACCCCAGGTTCTAGTACCGGTTGCTCCTCTTCCAGTCCAGCTCTCTGCTGTGGCCCGGGAAAGCAGTGGAGGATGGCCCAAGTGCTTGGGCCCTGCACCCACATGGGAGACCAAGAGGAAGCACCTGGCTCCTGGCTTTGGATCGGCGCAGCACGCCGGCCGTAGCAGCCATTTGAGGGTTGAACCAACGGAAGGAAGACCTTTCTCTCTGTCTCTCTCATTGTCTAACTCTGCCTGTCAAAAAATAAATAAATAAATAAATAAAATATACTGGTTAATGTAAATAGCCTTCAACAGAATTGAAGTAATAAGTAGTTGGTCTAAAAACAATATGTTGTGCCTTGTTGAAATTTTTATTTAAAATTTCAATGGGAAAGTAACAATATAAAGAAGAAAATTAGCTAAATTGCTGATAACACCATTATTTAAAACAAACCTCTTGATAATGGGGCTATGTGTGTGAGGAAAAAAGAGAACACAAATGTACCTATATAATACACATAAGTGCTTTAAAAAATTAAGCATATATGTGATACAGTGGCCTTATTTTTATTTTTGTTTTATCTTTATTTTGTGAATGTTTTCTGTTGTTCTTAAATAAAAATGTTTAAACATGCCCTAATGTTTCCCAGTTTGCTGTAAAATAATGGATACACCAATAAAAACACTTTAGGGGCTGGTGTTGTGGCACAGTGGGTTAGTGTATGGCCTTATTTTCCACTTTCTTTGCTCAGAAGATAGTAGTACACTATACATAATAATTTTTACCTTGTTATTTTCATGTAATTATCTTGGAGTTCTTTCTATAGTGACGCATAGAGAACTTACTTTTTGTTTCATTAAATAACTCTTCAGTATGTGTGCACATCAGTGCCGTAGATAAACACTTGGCTAAGCAGTGTGGTTTTTATAATGTGTGTTTTTTAAACTCCTTCAGGTAGATATGGACAAGAGTGGTGAAGTACGACTTATAGAACTGGATGAATCTTTCAAAAGTGAACATACTGTTTTTGTAACACCACCTGAGATCCCCTGTCTACCCAATGGTGAAGAACCTCCTTTACAGTACAGGTATTCAAGAACCAGAATGTTTGAGATTGAAAATGAGAAGCGATCCATCTTCTGTGATGTAGCTTTCTAAGGAGTGTGGTATTTTCAAAAACTCAAACTTTAAAGATTCATAATTTTTAGGTGGCAGGCAAGCTTATCCCACATCCTGAATTTAGTTTTGAGGTATAAACAGAAAAAAATATATAAATGTATAATGTAGAAGGGAAGCTCTCTATGTCTGCATGAGGATCCTCATAAATATTGATTAAATTCAGTTAGGTTTCCCCCACCCAAATATATAGCACATTTATTAAAGAATTTTGATTTCTCATGAAAGCTGGCTTTCCCATTTTTACTCCCATTTTTCATCCCATATAGTCAATATTTGTGCCCTTTTATTACTTTGGGGACAACCATTTCTTCTATGAGTTTTTATTTTAAGTCATAGAAATTCAGAAATACTGTAATTTCTCATTGTTAATATAGAAATTTCAGTCAGATACTTCTAAGTGCTTGGTATATAGATTTGAATTATATTTTGTCCTTGCTTTCAAGTCTAGAAAAGAAGCAAAGTCCTGAGCACAGTCAAGTAGAGTATGATAGGAGCAGATTTATTACTTAGTTTCTAATACTATATACATTTCTTTTTAGATTTTAAACGACTTCTTATTATTCAATAATTTTTTATTTAAAGATTCTGAAACACTTCCCGCTGATAATTTATTGAGTTACAGTTTGTTATTTTTATTGACAAAGAATTTTTCAGAATATCTTCATTGGATTAAGTTCTTCATTTTACAGATGAGAACTGGTGTGATAGGTGCTGTAAATGTTGGTTGCAGTTGATTCCTGTTCTTACTTTTTATCGATTGTTGATGTTGCTTTTTAAATTCTGTCTTTTATCAAAATATTTATAATCTTTCTCCTAGTTTCTCTCCTCTTCTTTTGTTTTTCTTTCTAAATAAGCTTTCTTTTTTGTCTCTTCTTTCTACTTCTTAGTCTTCCTTTGGTAGTTTTCACTAATACAGTTTTGCTTTTCTTCCTGTGGTTCGATTTCAAGTTTTTTATTTAAATTTTACTTTTAGATTTAGTCTTTTAGTTAAAAAAATTACTTAAAGAGTTCTCATTTGTTAAAAACTCCCAAGTCAGGGGTGGGTATTTGGTATAGCAGTTAAGAGATCTCCATACACTGAATTGCTCTCCAAATGCCAACAATAGCCAGGGCTGTGCCAGGCCAAAGCCATGAGTCAGGAACTCAATCTGGCAAGGACTCAATTACTTGAGTTACCATCTGCTGCCTCCCAGGGTGTGCATTAGCAGGAAACTGGAATTGGAAACAGAGCCAGGACTTGAACCCAGGCACTCTGATATGTAATGCAGGCGTCCCAAATAAAAACTTCTTTAAGCAAGAGAGAAAGATCTTCTGTCTGCTGGTTCACTCCCAAAATAGTCACAGTGGCCAAGGCCAGGGCAGGCCAAAGCCAGGATCCAGGAGCTTCATCTGGATCTCTCCTGCATGGGTGGCAGGAGCCCAAGGACTTAGGCCTTTTTCTGCTGTCTTCCCAGGCGTACTAGCAGGTAGCCAGATTAGAAGTGGAGCCCATATGAGCTGCTGGCGCTACAGGTGGAGGCACTTGGTCCATTTTCTGGTGCTTTTTTCCAGACCATTAACAGGGAGTTGGATCAGAAATGAAGCAGCTGGGACACAAACCGGCGCCTGTATGGAATGCCAGTGTTGCAGGCGGTGGCTTTACCCACCACGCAACAGTGCTGCTTCCCTCCCACTCCCCAAGCAGCAGCAGCTTCTTTTTAAAAGTTTTATTTTATTTTATTTATTTGAAAGCAAAGTTACAAAAAGAGAGACAGACAGAGATCTTCCATCTGCAAGTTCACTCCCCAAATAACTGTAGCAGCTGGGGCTGGGCCAGGCTGAAGCTTCATCTTGGTCTCCCACATGGGTGGCAGTGCCCCAAGTACTTGGACTGTTTTCTGCTGCTTTCCAGGCACAGTCGCAGGGAGCTGGATGGGAAGTGGAGCAGCTGGAACTTGTGCTGGCACCCATATAGGATACCAACATTGCAGGAAACAGTTTAACCCACTATGCCACAACCCCCTCAAGCAGCTTCTTAAGAGCTGCACCAAACACCCATCTCATACAGTCAATATTTTTAAGGGTCTTGGTTTTCCAGAACTTCTTTGTTGTTTCTTTCCATTCAATCTTCAGTTGTTGCTAATATTTTCTTATTTTACTGAATAGCTTACAGTAACGTGTGATAGACATTATTTACTTTTACTTTAGTTTTAAGTAAGATTTTTAAGTATGATTTCTTCTTACTTAAAAATATTTATATACCTTTAAGAGTATTATATAGATGAAGTTTGTTGTGTAGAGGCCTCTGATCTTTTCAGCCTTTTTCCTGACTGTTACTACTTATACGCCCAGCACACCTTGCTGTAGTACTTTAATTAGGCCTATCTCCTCATAGAGTCATTTTTTTTATCTTCTTTCTCTTATCTAATTTCCTTTCTAATCAATAAGACTGAAACTGAGGCCGGCACTGCGGCTCAATAGGCCAATCCTTCGCCTAGTGGCGCTGGCACACCAGGTTCTAGTCCCGGTCGGGGAGCCGGATGCTGTCCCGGTTGCCCCTCTTCCAGGACAGCTCTCTGCTGTGGCCCGGGAAGGCAGTGGAAGATGGCCCAAGTGCTTGGACCCTGCACCCCATGGGAGACCAGGAGAAGCACCTGGCTCCTGGCTTCGGATCAGCACGGTGCGCCGGCCACAGCGCGCCAGCCACGGTAGCCATTGGAGGGTGAACCAAGGGCAAAAGGAAGACCTTTCTCTCTGTCTCTTTCTCACTGTCCACTCTGCCTATTTAAAAAAAAAAAAAAAAAACTGAACCTGAGTTATCCTGATTAATCAATTCATGATACTAAGCTAGCCCTGATTGCTATTTGCATCTTTTTAAGAGGGAGATTCTGCAGCAAATATGGTAATCTGAAACTATGACATTAATAGGTGTCCTGTTTGAAAGAAAACTTACTAGGTGGGCCCTTTACCAACTGTCTTTTTTCTGATATGTTCAATATGTATTTGCCTAAATACTAATTTTAGTCATTTACTTGAGTTACTTTGGAATTTGATAACAAGTTCAACAGAATTTAAGTGTATTCTCCCCCATATACTTGAATCTATAATTAGCTACTACATTTCTAAATATTATATTAAAAGGGCAGCATTAGTGTAAATACTTATTATCTGTCATCGTCTGATGGAGAAACTTATATTAAATTCTAAGAAGTTACTGATTGTGGGCTAGATGTTTGCTGCTGCAGTGAAGATGCCAGTTGCGACATTTGCATCCCGTGTAGGAGCGCCTGATTCGGGTCCTGGCTCCACTTCCAATTCTAGCTTCCTGTTAATGCATAACCTCGGAGGCAGTGATGATGGCTCAAGTAGTTGGGTTCCTGCCACCCACATGGGAGATCCAGATTGAGTTCCAGGCTCCTGGCTTCAGCCTGGCCCAAACTTAGCTGTTGTAGGCATTTGAGGAGTGAACCAGTTAATGGAAGATCTTTCTGTGCCTTTCAAATAAATAAAACCAAATAAAATAAAAAGATAAGTTACTGATACTTATTTTTTGTAGTTTGTAACCATTGTGATCATCTATGTGTACTTGAATTTTTTTTTCTTTTCTAAAACAGCTATAGTGGATTTCCAGTTCTTAGGAACAATTTATTTGAGAGACCAGAAGGATTTCTACAAACGCAAAAGAGCAAACTGCCTTCAAAATCAAGTAGTCCTAGTAGCCCTTCTCCCATGTTCAGAAGAACAAAACAGGTGCTTTGAAAATTTTGCCATCTTCATGTAATCAAATATTAGAACAAAATAAATTTTACACTTATCCTTTCTAGTATACTTTATCACCCCATGTACAGCTATTAATAGATTATGCTTTCTGAAACTAATAAGATATTTTGAATGTCTTATAAAAGATAGTTTAGAGTAATCTAACTTATTTATTATCTCGTCCTAGAAGCTTACATATTTTATAATATAGATTCAAGAAGAGGTTTGAAAATAGGTTATTGACAGATTTTTCTGGAAACACTACAAAAGCGTGTGACATAATTTTTTAGCATTCAGTTAAACAAGGATGCTTAAGTGTATAAATTTATTAATAAGATCCTTGCATTTTTTTTAGGAAATTAAATCAGCCCATAAAATTGCCAAGAGATATTCTTCCATCCCTCAGATGTGGTCCAGGTGTCTGCTGCGTCACTGTTATGGACTGTGGTTTATTTGTCTCCCAGCTTATGTCAAAGTATGTCATTCAAAAGTCAGAGCTCTGAAAACAGCATATGATGTACTAAAAAAAATGCAGTCAAAGAAGATGGATCCACCTGATGAGGTAACAGTTACTCTTTAAAATGAACTGTTTTATTTTAGATTTACATACATAAATATCTTTGTTTCTGTACACTTTCAAATATGTGTTTCAGGTGTGCTACCGCATTCTTATGCAGCTCTGTGGACAATATGATCAGCCAGTGCTTGCAGTGCGAGTGCTTTTTGAAATGCATAAAGCTGGTATTGACCCCAATGCCATTACTTATGGTTATTATAATAAGGTAATTACTTTGATTTAATGGAGAAATAGCATTATTTTTGTCATTATACAACCTTAATTTAATGACAGAAATAACCAGGGATTATTTGACATTTATTTTATTTTAGAGTACTTAAAATATATTTTACATGCAAATCAAGTCTTTTTTCTATTTGTGTGATACAGTCTGTTTTAATATCTTTAGCTTATTTTGAAGGCAATGTATGTACCTACAAAAATTATTTTACTAATTATTTTATTTTGTTGAATGCATAGGCTGTTTTGGAAAGTACCTGGCCTTCAAGAAGTCGTAGTGGCTATTTTCTTTGGACAAAAGTAAGAAATGTTGTTTTAGGAGTAGCACAGTTCAAAAGAGCTTTAAAGAAACATGCACATTTATCACAAACAACTCTCTCAGGTAATTAAAGATTTTTAAGGGTTGTATGTATCTTATTTTTTTCTCTAAAATTAACTGACTTAGTTATACTTCATATTTTTAGAAATTTTAAATTAAATACTTTGCTTTTATTGCCACTAAATAAATTACATTGCTTTTTTTTTTTATTATGATTATCTGTTACCCGAAATGCTGGGGACCAGAAGGGTTTCAAATCTGGGGCTTTGAAATGTTGAAATATGTATATGGTTGGGGCCCACATCTAAACAAGAATTTTATTGACATTTCAGAAACACCTAAACACATATTATGAAGGTAATTTCATACAATATTTTAATGCACCTGTGTTTTGACTGTGACCTATTAAGGGATCAGGTATTTGATTTTGTGATGTCATGTCTGCACTTCTGGAGCAATTTAAAGAGGTTTTGGATATTCAGATTAGGAGTGCTCAACTTGAGTTAGAGTTCTTTTCCTATTTAAAAAACAAACAGATTTCACTTTTTTTTTTTAGCTGTTAAATTATCAACTCTTGGTGGTCTTGTTTTGGTATTCGTTAATAATATGTAAGATATTTCTTTGATATGGTACTTTGCTGATTATGTGGACATTTTACATTCATTATCACTTTAGTAGATTATTAGCTTGACAACAAACTAGTGTGCATTTTTTATTTCTCCTTGTGTAGTAAAATGCTATCAAATGTGTTCTTAAACAGATGGCAATGACCTGGATGCTGTTAGTCATGGCAGCATGGATAGTGGTCATGGGGCATGCACTGTGGAGCAGGCACCTTTAACATGGGTTTAATCAAAGTGTATGCTACGGATGATAGATATAGTTCAGTTTTATGTGTGCTTATGTATACATTTATTACATTGTAAGCACTAGATTTGCTAGCCTGTATTTTTTAAATTTTCAACAATATATTTAACTTTCAGTTTTCAATTTTATGAGTTAGATATATGATTTCATAACAAATTTAACAACTATATTAAATTTTATTTATTTGAATATAAATAAAAATTTAAGACAGGTTATAAAGTACTTTATTCAAGTATTTAATTTTATATCACACTGATATCTCTTTACCATATCATTTTCCTAGGATAAATCCTTTCTAACGATGAAAAAATTGTTAGAGTTTTAAAAAAGAAACTTCTAACTCTGTTTCTGAATTAATAGTGTTATAATAGTGTCAGCTTACTGATGATAACAATTTACAGTGGTTATGTAAAATATAATCATTGGGAGAAGCTAGGTGAAAGATACCAAGGAACTCACTGTATTATTTTCGCAACTTTTGAATGTTAAACTACTTTAAACTCTCTGTTTAAAGTTTAACTCTCTCTGTTTAAAGTAAACCCTCTCTGTTTTGAATGTTAAACTACTTTAAAACAAAAAATTTAAAATAATTTTTTAAGTTGTTTTCAAATTTACAGGCAGAGTTACAGAGAGGGATAACTTCCATGCGTTGATTTACTCCCCCAAATGGCCAGCGCAGTTGGAGTTGGGCCAGGCTGAAACCAGGAGCCAGGAACTCCATCCAGATTTCCCATATGGGTGGCAGGGGCCAAGTACCTGGGCCATCCTCCACTGTTTTCCCAGAAATGTTAGCAGGCAATTGGATTGGAAGTAGAGTAGCCCATCAAACTGGTGCTCTTATGGAATGCTAGCATCACAGGCCTACCCCACTGCACCATAATAACACCAGCCCCTTAAATAATTCTTAAAAACAGTATTGAGGCAATGAAGGTGGCATTAATTTTATTGGAATATAAGATTTATACATTGGCTTCCTTATCCAGATTTTTTTATTTATTTTATTTGAAGGGCAGAGTGACACAGTGAGAACAGAGAGCTCCCATCTACTAGTTCACTCCCCAGATGGCTTCAGTGATCCTTGGCTGGGGCTGAAGCAGAAAACTCAGTCCAGGGGCCAGCGCTGTGGCGCAGCAGGTTAGAGCCCTGGCCTGAAGGGCCGGCATCCCACATGGGCACCAGGTCTAGTCCCGGCTGCTCCTTTTCTGATCCAGATCTCTGCTGTGACCTGGGAAGGCAGTGGAAGATGGCCTAAGTCCTTGGACCCCTATACCCACGTGGGAGACCTGGAAAAAGCTCCTGGCTCCTGGCTTCGGATTGGCGCAGCTCCAGCCATTGCAGCCATCTGGGGAGTAAACCAGTGGATTGAAGACCTCTCTCCCTGTCTCTACCTCTCTTTGTAACTCTGTATTTCAAATAAATAAAATCTTTAAAAAAAAAAAAAGAAAAGAAAAGAAAAGAAAACTCAGTCCTGCTTTCCTCTGTGGGTGGCAGCAACCCAACTGCTTGAACCATCACTGTGCCTCCCAGGTTGTGCATTAGCAGGAAGCTGGAATAGGGAGTAGAGTTGGGACTCGAACCCAGGCACTCAATCTGGGATGTGGACATCCCAATAAGCATCTTAACTGCTAGGCCAGATGTCTACCCCTGTACATAAGTTTTTTCTAACTATTATAAAAATTGACAACATTAAAAATATTTGCATAATTCTCTCCTTTTTGTTACTACATTTTAAAAGTACACATGACTTTTGATTATAGTGTAAATGTGAGCTCTGTTGACAGAAACTTTAAAAATTAAGTGTTACTAATAAAATATGAAGGCTTCTGTCTCTGCAGATGACATTATTTTGGCCTGTCTCCTTTTATGTCTGCTTTTAAGATTAATAACTGTAACTTGATTGTATTGAAATATAATGTTCGTTGTTACTCTTCTATGGCTCTTTATCATGCAAATGAGTTTAATCTGTTATAGTAGTCATCCTTAGACATTCTTTTTTTTTTTTTAAGATTTATTTATTTGAAAGTCAGAGTTACACAGAGAGAGGAAATACAGAGAGAGAGAGAGGGTTCTTCCATCTGATAGTTCACTCCTCAATTGGTGCAGCAGCCAGAATTGCATTGATCCGAAGCCAAGAGCCAGGAACTTTTTCCAGGTCTCCCGCACAGGCGCAAGGACCCAAGGACTTGGGCCATCTTCTACTGTTTTACCAGGCCACAGCAGAGAGTTGAATTGGAAGTGGAGCAGCTGGGACTTGAACCAGCGCCCACATGGGATGCCAGTGCTTCAGGCCAGGGCCTCAACCCACTGCACCACAGCGCCAGCCCCAGGCATTACTTTTTAAAATTAAACAAAGTTTTATTTTTAATTATGACTTTTTCTAAAGTTAACTTAAAACAGTTCAGAACCAGTAAAAGCATGAGTTTCATCAAAATCATCTTCAAATTTTTCTGATTTTAATTTTTTATGGAAAGGTACCTCAAAGTTTGATTAGAAAAAAGCACAAACTCAAAATTATAACAGACATTAAATACCTAATGATACTAAATGCAATTTCTTTATATAGTGCTTCCAAAGTGTATTGAACTGTTTCATGTATAGGCCCATATAATCATAACAACCTTGTGTTTTACAAATCTGGAAACATGAGATCCAAACTAAAAGGTTAAGTGACTTACTTAAAATCCTGTCTCCTAAATAGAATGCTAGGATTCAGAACCTTATCTTTAGATGCTAATATAGAGAAAACAATTTGCTAAAAATCATACAGAGGCTATTCAACAAAAGCAGAATTATTACATTGATGTATCTTGCTTTTCTTAATAATAGCTTTTTTTCTTTCATGTATTTGTCTTCATGTGCAATTCAGCTAATTATTCAGTTGGATTTTCAGAAAACTTAATTACCAATAAACTTAAGGAACCCCAATTTTTGGATAAAATCATTTAGATAATCATCTCCAATTATTTGTATGTGAATGTTCTGAATTCAGGTCTGAATTCTCTGCAAATTTCTTATCTGCATTGCTTATTGAAACTCAGACTTTCACTTAGAGAGGTAATGGACTTGAAAAAAAAATGTCTACAGGGCCGGCGCCGTGGCTCACTTGGTTAATCCTCTGCCTGCGGTGCTGGCATCCCATGTGGGCACTGGGTTCTGGTCCCAGTTGCTCCTCTTCCAGTCCAGCTCTCTTCTTTGGCCCAGGAGGGCAGTGGAGGATGGCCCAAGTGCTTGGGCCCCTGCACCCACATGGGAGACCAGGAAGAAGCACCTGGCTCCTGGCTTCGGATCAGCGCAACGCCAGCCATAGTGGCCATTTGGGGAGTGAACCAATGGAAGGATGACCTTTGTCTCTCTCTCTCTCTCACTGTCTATAACTCTGCCTGTCAAATAAAAAGAATGTCTGCTTGTCTGTGTTTGGAAGCCCACAGAGTAGTGTGAATATACATAATTCTTTTGACTACAGTATGGAGCAAAAAATAAATTATTTTGATATCTTCTCTTTCTTACATTACTGGAGATGGGAAAGGGTAGGTAACAAAATAATACTTTTCATTAGAGTGATCCAGGAAAATTTCTGAGTAAATCCGAACTCCTAGTATGTAGCTATAAATTCAAGTTGCTCTCACTAAAGAAGTTTATGATAAACAAATAGGGATTTGTTTCTTTCTTTTTGCTTTTCTAGGTGGCCAGTCTTATCTGGGATATGATTCATTGTCTAAGGATGAAGTTAGAAGAGGGGATATAGCTACTGAGGACATTCCAGAAGAAAAAGATAAAAAAGGGAGTGATTCTGGTTCCTGTAGGTATTGTTTGAAAATGTATAAAATTGTGACTTTATATTAATAGAAAAATACATATAACTTTAACTGCATAAGTGCTAGTATTACTTCACATTTTTCTTTTATAACTTCTTTTCTTCCCATTGCAAAGCCTCTCTGCCACCTAATACTTATTTTCATAAAAATGCTTCTTGTATGATGTTTATAGTCTCAGTGGCAAAACACTCTCCAATCAATACTGTTAAAATGAAAGCTATATAACACGCAGAATATTCTTATTAAAGTGCAAACTTGTTTTTGTTGAAATAGTGACTCTTTTCTGAGGCTTAATAATTTTCATTTAAAGTTTGTTTATGGACCTGTATTTGCTCCTTTCCTTCCCCCACTGGAAATGCTCTTTCACAACCAAGAGAAATTTTAAAGTTTGTTCATGAACTTCATACATGATCAGTACTCAGTAATTTCATCTTCATTTTGAGGCCTGAACTACTTAATTGTGACTCAAAAATAGATACAGAGGTATTTAATATTATATTCTTATAGCCTATTTATGGGTAGAAATTTTAGAACTAAAAGCTACTTCTCTTTGTTCCTCGTACAATATAGATTGCATTTAATTGACATTTTCATTTCTATCTGTATAGTGTCAGAGAGCGAGAGTACAAAAGGAAGTGTTGATTGTCTTCCTAAGCTCAATTTTCAAAGTTCTTCCAGTATTGTTCGCCTCAGTGGTACAGGTGACAACAGTGCTCATAAAATACCAGGAGAAAACACAGGTAAGTTGAATAGCATCCATCTGTTATGTGCAGGATAGACTGTGTGATTAAGGAATAGTTTTTTTCTAAAAGTCTTAATCATCCATTTTTTAAATGTATTTATGCAGCCTCTCATGGTATAGCTTAGTGACTTGAGAGCTATATTTAATGACACTTGGTTAAAGCTTTTATTATTACCACTGTGTAGGGGTAAACCTCCAACCTTCATACATTTTGAGTTTGAATTGTTGAATTAGGAAGTAGGAGCTGGAGAGGCGACAAGTCTGAGTATCATATACCTGGCCAAATTTTATTTTATTTTTTCTTTAAACTTTTATTTATTTTCATTTTATTTGAAAGGCAAAGATTTTCCATCTTCTAGTTCACTCTCCAAATGCCTACAATAGCTTGGGTACACCAGGCCCAAGCCAAGAGCCTGAATCCAGTCTGGGTCTCCCATGTGGATTGCAGAGCCCAAGTACTTGAGCCATCTTCTGCTGCCTCCCAGGTGTGCATTAGTAGGAAACTGGAATGGGAAACAGAGGTGGGCCTCAAACCCAGGAACTCACATATGGGACGCAGCAGTTCTAAGTAGTGTCTTATTTTTTTTTATTTTATTTTATTTATTTATTTATTTTTTGACAGGCAGAGTGGACAGTGAGAGAGAGAGACAGAGAGAAAGGTCTTCCTTTGCCGTTGGTTCACCCTCCAATGGCCGCCACGGCCAGCGCGCTGCTGCTGGCGCACCGCGTTGATCCGATGGCAGGAGCCAGGAGCCAGGTGCTTTTCCTGGTCTCCCATGGGGTGCAGGGCCCAAGCACCTGGGCCATCCTCCACTGCACTCCCTGGCCACAGCAGAGGGCTGGCCTGGAAGAGGGGCAACCGGGACAGAATCCGGCGCCCCGACCGGGACTAGAACCCGGTGTGCCGGCGCCGCTAGGCGGAGGATTAGCCTAGTGAGCCGCGGCGCCGGCCCTAAGTAGTGTCTTAAATGTTATACCATCCACCTACCCTCCAGCCAAGTTTTACATGAAGGATATGATTCCTTGGTCTTCATATTATTCCTCTTTGTTCAAAAGCTAGTCTGAAAAAGCATAGTCCTTTAGACAATTTAGTTAGTAACACCCAATGTTTTTCTTTTTTAAAAGTGCTTTTAGGGGCCGATGCTGTGGCGCAATGGGTTAATGCCCTGGCCTGAAGCGCCGGCATTCCATATGGGCACTTCAGATTCATATTCAGAGCCTCTAGTCCCGGCTGCTCCACTTCCGATCCAGCTCTCTTCTGTGGCCTGGGAAAGCAGTGGAAGATGGCCCAAGGCCTTGGGCCCCTGCACCCGCATGGGAGACCCAGAGGAAGCCCCTGCCTCCTGGCTTCTGGCTTGGGATCGGCGCAGCTCTGGCTGTTGTGACCAATTGGGGAGTGGACCATCAGATGGAGGACTCCCCGCCCCCCATGTGTAACTCTGACTTTCAAAAAATAAAATGAATCTTTTAAAAGAAAGTGCTTTTATATATTATCTCTTTTTTAAAAGATTTATTTATTTGAAAGTCAGAGTTAACAGAGAAGGAGAGGCAGAGAGAGAGAGAGAGAGAGAGGTGTTCCATCTGCTGGTTCACTCCCCAATTAGCCCCAACAGTCGGAGCTGCGCCAATCCAAAGTCAGAAGCCAGGAGCCTCTTCAGGGTCTCCCACATGGTTTAGGGGCCCAAGGGTCATCTTCTGCTGCTTTCCCAGGCTATAACAGAGAGCTGAATTGGAAGTGGATCAGCCGGGACTTGAACCAGTGCCCATATGGGATGCAGGCAGTGGCTTTACCCACTGTGCCACAGTGTGCATAAATTATCTTGTGTTTGTTATTATAGTAATGCTTATATTAGTGAGAGAGGACTTTAGCACTATTTTAAAGATGAGAAAGCTAAGGCATAATTTGGTTTTTGGCAGGTAACAGAAATTATCAGTTGTTAGTGAAAAAGTGAGATTAGGATCTGGGATCACTTGATCTCATAAATTTTTCACCAGACTATTTTAGGGGAGTTAAATGGACCTAAGATGCAGAGCTTCTAGTGTTAAAAGCATGATTATGTAATTACCTTTTTTTTAATGGCATTAGCTGGATTTTATTACAATCCAAAAGACATTGAAGAATTTCTGCTCTCAAGGTGTTGTTGTACTGTTCATTTTTCCACAATATAAATATGCCTCTAGTTCAGAGGTAGGCAAACAGTGGCCCACAGACCGCATTTGGCCTGCACCCTGTGTTGCACTGGCAGGTATAAACCTGGAATCAGTAAGCAGTATATTGGGGCATTGTGGTATAGTGGGTAAAGCCATCACCTGCAATGCAGCATCCCATATGAGCACTGGTTCATGTCCCAGCTGCTCGACTTCTGATCCTCTTCCCTGCTAATGGCCTGAGAAAAGCAGCCGAAGGTGACCCAGTTGTTTGGGCCTCTGCCATCCACATGGGATACACAGATGAAGCTCCTGGCTTCTGGCTTCAGCCTGGCCTGGCACTGGCCATTGCGGCCATCTGGGAAGTGAACCAGTGAATGGGAAATCTCTCTCTCTTTCTCTCTCTCTGTCCCTCTGTCTGTTTCTGTCTTTTCCTCTGTGGCTCTGATTTTCAAATAAATAAATAAAACTTTAAAAAAAAAAAACAATATTATTAAAAGGTTAAAATCACTTAGCCACAAAGATAGTCATAAGAATTTGAAGATTTTAAAATAATCTTTATATATGGGTAATTTTAATATGGCTATCTTCAGCTTGGTGATTTGAGGTTTGGTTTTCATTTAAATATGCAGAAGACACAGAATATCATGGACATCTAGCAGAACCATGATTTTATAACCATTGTTATTTAATCAATTTAGTAGAATTAATGCAAGTTTATTATTATAAAATATAAATCCTAGTTGTTAGGTATTTTGAAAAGCAGAACATCCTAATGTCTAGAAGAATATTCTTTATTGTTAGACAAATCTAGATTTAAATACCAGTTCCATCTCTTAAGGGTATCTTTGGGCTAGATAATTGATCTTTCTGATCTTTTTTTTTCTTAACACATAATGATGTTGTCATGTTTACAGTAGCTAATATAATATCTTCATTACTAGAATTTTAAATACTTAAGATGATTTATATTTGCACATTACATTTTCATGAATAAAACATTTTTCTTGTTTTTCAGAAAGCACACGTGAACTGCTCTTAATATCATCTCTTGAGGATACAAATGAAACAGGAAACATTGAAAGTAGATGCTTCAGGAAAAGACATAAAAGTGACAATGATTCTAATTTGCAGCAGCAAATGGCCTGGGGAAATAGAAACCGTAATCTTAGTGGAGGGGTACTGATGGGATTTATGCTCAACAGAATTAATCAAAAAGCAAATCCTGGAGATATAGTTGAAAAATTAGGAGCTGATGCAAAAATTCTTTCAAATGTTATCTCAAGAAGCACAAGACCAAATAGTCTTGATATTGGAAAGCCACCTTTAAGATCAAAAAGAGACAGTCTAGAAAAGGAATCTAGTGATGATGATACACCTTTTGATGGTTCTAATTGCTTGGCTGATAAAGTGGATTCTCCTGTTATTTTTGATTTAGAAGATTTAGACAATGAAACAGATGGATCAAAAGTAGGATATGTTGCAACACAAAATTCCAAGAGAATTCAACGAATGAACAGCAACTTCTCAGCAAAACCTTCTGAAAAAACTGATGTTGCAACAGGATTTGATCCCCTCTCTCTTTTAGTTGCTGAGACTGAACAGCAGCAAAAAGAAGAGGAAGAGGAGGATGAAGATGATAGCAAAAGCATTTCGACACCATCTGCAAGGCGTGATTTAGCTGAAGAAATTGTGATGTATATGAATAACATGAGCAGTCCTTTGACAAGTCGAACACCAAGCATTGACTTACAAAGGGCTTGTGATGATAAATTAAACAATAAGAAAAGCCCAACCTTGGCCAAGGCTTGCAGAAGATCTAGCCTACCTCCCAATTCTCCTAGGCCAGTGAGACTCACCAAATCTAAAAGTTACACAAAAAGTGAGGAAAGACCGAGGGATAGACTGTGGTCTTCTCCAGCCTTCTCACCTACTTGCCCATTTAGAGAAGAATCTCAAGATACATTAACCCATTCATCACCCTCATTTAATTTAGATACGCTACTGGTACCTAAATTAGATGTTCTAAGGAATAGTATGTTCACTGCTGGAAAAGGAGTTGCAGAGAAAGCAAGCAAGTGGTATTCAAGATTCACCATGTATACCTCATCCTCTAAGGTAAGTGTTTCCTACTTTGACTTTGACAACACCTGCCACCACTACCAGAAGTTCCTTACTTGTGAAGATGTCTGTCTAAACCATTTTTTTTAAATACAGCTCTAAGAAAAGAACTCATGGAATGTATATGTTTTATAAGTACCAGAATTTGAACTGGAATAAAGGAGAGAAATTTCAGTTAGATTATATTTAAAGTTCAGATTTGAAACTGGAATAAGAAATACTGTTATGTGAAAGTACTTAAGAGTTTCAATATGTCCTTCAAAAAACAAACACTTTAAAAAATAGAGTATCCAGTATGCCTTCCAAATTGACCAGTCAGGCATAGTTTCTCCTCCTGTTTAGGGTAGAACAATTTATGATAGACCTGCATACATTCCAAAAACAAACATCTAGGTGAAATGCAGGAAGTTTGGGGTGTTTGAGGGAAATCCCACACAGGTCTCTAACTCTTGAGATATATATGCACGTGATAGATACAAGCCAACGCAGAAGAGATTTAAATAACTGAACTTAGAGTTAAACCAAGACAAGGGCAGGCATTTGGCCTGCTCTTGAGATTCTGCTTGAGACATCCGTGTCCCATGTTGGCATGCCTGAGTTTGAGTCCTTGTTCTGCTAATTCCAGCTTCCTACTGACACATACCCTGGGAGGCAACAGATAATGGCTCAGATAGTTGGTTTCTTGTCACCCATGTTAGAAACTGAATTGAGTTCCTGACTCCTGGCTTTGGCCTGACCCAGCTGCAAACTACAGCTGTTATAAATGTAACAGTGAACCACCAGATGAGAGATGACTCTGTCACTCTCTTTTCTCTCTCTCATTCTCCCTCTCCCTCCTTCTCTCCCTTTTCCCCCTCCATCCCTCCTTCCTTTCCCCCTCCCTTCATCTCTTGCTCTGTTCCATACCTTTCAAATAAATAAAACTGAAAAAGCAACACAAAAAGCAGTCTAAACTAAGTTGATTGCCTGCTAAAACAAAACATCAGTATTCCCCCAAAGAATTTTAACAGTAACCAGGCTGCCTGATATAATATTCACAATGTCCAAGATAAAATCCAAGATTATTTGATGTAATGGACCAGAAAAATATGATTAATTCTCAAGATATTCAAGATTCACCCCGAGGTATTCAAGACAACGCCAAGACAAACACAAATGTTGGAGTTACCATAAACTTTAAAGCAGCTACTATATAACTAAGTTCCCTGAGATAAAGGAAAACATACTTGAAATAAAATGAATTCTCAATAAGAAACAGAAACTATTGAAAACAAATTTTGTAACTGAAAAAATATACTATCTAGAACTCATTGGATGATTTCAATAACAGAGTGGAAATGACACCAAAAAAATTCAGTGGGCTTGAATATTGAGTAACAAAAACCCAATTTGAAGAACAGAAGAGAAAAGACTTACAAAAATGAACAGATCCTCAGGGCATGTAGAGCAATATCAAAAGGGATAAATAACATGCACATTATTGGAGTTCCAGAAGAATTGAAGAAAGTGATTGTGGCAGAAAAGATACTGGAACAATGAATGACTGAAAATGCTTGAATTTGATGAAAGAGATTTATAGATACAAAACTCAGAAAACTGCAGAAAGGACAAACTCGGAGAAAACCACATCTGCATACATTTATAAACAAAGTGATAGAAACCAAAACTCTCCATCTGCTAATAAGAAAATACTGGAAAAAAAAATCTTGAAAACAATTAAAGAAAAATTACTCATTATCTAGCTAGGACTAAAGATTTGGATGACCATGTGGTGTTCATCATCATCCATGGAGGAAAAATTTCACTAAAACAATACCCTTAACATATTAAAAATAGACACATGGGGCTGGGATGATGATGTAGCAGGAAAAGCTGCCATTTAAGAGGTCGGCATCCCATGTGGGGGCCGGTTCAAGTCCTGGCTGCTCCAGTTCCAATCCAGCTCCCTGGGAAAGCAGTGGAGAATGGCCCAAGTGCCTGAACTCCTGCACCAACGTGGGAGACCTGGAAGAAGCTCCTGGTTCCTGGCTTTAGCCTGGCCATTGTGGCTATTTGGGGAGTGAACCAGCAGATGGAAGATATTTGCCTTTCTGTCTATCTCTGTCTCTCTTTCTCACTCTCTCTCTCTCTCAATTCTTTCAAATAAATAAATAAATATTTAAGAAAACACCTGTCCACCCAGAATTCTATATCCAGTGAAAGCATTCTTCAAGGGGTGAAATAAAGAAAATGGATTCATAGACGGCAGATTTGCTCTATATGAACTCCCTGTATGAAATTCTTCACACTAAAGAAAAATGATACTGTGGACTAGAGAAACCTGGATCTTTAGAAGTGAAGAACAAAACAAATACCTGGCTAGTAGAAAAGGCTTTTTCTCTCTTTCTCTCTTTCTCTCTCTCTCTCTCTTTTTTTTTTTTTTTTTAACAGGCAGAGTGGACAGAGAGAGACAGAGAGAAAGGTCTTCCTTTTGCCGTTGGTTCACCCTCCAGTGGCCGCTGGCAGGAGCCAGGTGCTTCTCCTGGTCTCCCATGGGGTGCAGGGCCCAAGGACTTGGGCCATCCTCCCCTGCACTCCCTGGCCACAGCAGAGAGCTGGCCTGGAAGAGGGGTAACCGGGACAGAATTCGGCGCCCTGACCAGGACTAGAACCTGGTGTGCCGGCACCACTAGCCGGAGGATTAGCCTATTGAGCCATGGCACCGGCTTAGGAGAAAACTTTTAAGACCTTGAGTTACCCAAAGAATTCTCAGTATGATACCAAAAGATTAATCTGTAAAAGAAAATATACGTCAGAATTTAAAACTTTGTGCTCCAAAAAATACCAGTAAGAAAATGAAAAGGCAAGCCATATACTGAGGAAAAGCTATGTAAATTGCCAAGTCTGACAACCGACTCTTGCCCTATACACAATTGACTCATCCAATTCAAAAATTAAAAAAGAGACAGACAACCCAAGGAAGAGATGAGCAGAAGAGTCTCCAAAGGAGATGGAGCACATGAGAAAATGCTCTATATAATTAGTCATTAAGGGAGTGCAAATTGAAGCCATAAGATGCCATTTCACACCCACTACAGTGGTTAGAGTCTAAAAGACAATAACAAGTGTTGATGAAGATGTGGAGAAATGGTAACCTTTATACACAGCCGATGGGAATGTGAAATGGTACAGCCACCTTGGAAAGTAAGCCACTTTGGCATTTTCTTTTAAAAGTAAGCATAAATTTTTTAAATTGCTTCAACTTCTTCTTAAGTGCATATTTTCATTTTATTTGAAAGACAGAAAAATAGAGTTCTTCCATGCCTGATTCTCTCCCCAAATGCCCACAAAAGTTAGGGTTGGGCTACACTAAAGCCACAATCTGCCTCTCTCACGTGAGTGCAGGACCGAAGTCCTTGAAGCATGGAATTGGAAGCTGAGCTGCAGCTTGAACAGGCGTGCTCTAATATAGGATATGTACCCCAAACAGTGTCTTATCTCTGCCCAAATGCCCACCTCAAAAGGTCAGCATACATTTAATATGACCCAATAGTTTCCTTCTTAGGTATTTCACCCAAAGGTAATGAAAACATGGCCTACTTAGAGGTGTACATGTAGTTGTTCATAACATTCTTCATAATAGCCAAAAGGTGGGAACAGTCCAAGTGTTCATCAGCTGGGAAACAGGTCAGCAAAATGTGTTGTATTCATACAATGTAACATTAGTGATAAGAAGGAATTACTGATAAATGCTAAAATTAAAATTGGCAAATCTCAAAAACATGTTAAGTGAAAGAAGCCATATGCCAAAAACAAATCTTGTATGAATTCCATTGGTATAAAATGTCCTAAAAAGGCTCATCTTTACAGACAGTGTATTAGTGATTGCCCTGAGATTTGGAGGGACTGGGGATGTACAGATGAATTTTAGCAGACATGAGGCATTCATTGTGATGGTAGAAATGTTCTAAAACTAGTTAAATTTACTACAAAAATTATTGAATTGTATATCTAAAGTGATTGAATTTTATGGCATGTAAATTATATCTGAATAAGGTTTTTTAAAAAAGCATATTTTATGACTAGAGTGGGATTAAATTAAAAATCACTAATAATAAGTAAGATACCAAGAAAAAAACAAACACAGTTCTAAATAATTCATGAATCAAGGATAAAATCATAAAGTAAATTAGAGTGTTATTTGAATAGAATGACCAAAAATAGAGCACTTTAAAATTTGTGTGGTACAGCTAAGAGGGCATAGATATGAGCTTACAGCTTTAGAATGATTTTCCAGCATTAGAAGCTAGAAAAAAAAAAAATAGAAACAAAGTTTAAAGTAGAAGGAAGGCAAGAATAAAAAGAGTCAGTCAGTAAAACTGGAGAGAGAGAATCTAAGAAATTCAGTGAATCCAGAAGCCAGTAATTTTTAAAAAACACTAAAATTGACACATTCCTAGTTAGATTAATCCAGAAAACGAAAACACAAATTACTAATGTCAGAAAGACCCCACTTTGATGTTGCTGCTGCTTTCTCTAAATAGAATTAACAACTAAAGTAAACTGTTTTTAATGCCTAATTCTGAAAATATTAAGGGAACAACAAGCACAGTTTCTCCTACTACCTACTCAGAACATAGGTCATTTCTGTGATCCCAAAAATGTATGGGAATCGCAGGCAGCAGACTCCAGCCAGGCATCCTCTAATTCAGTACAAGTCTAGCACTACCTGGAGGCTGCATCACATTCCACAGGTTGAGGGCTGAGTCTCCAGACTGCCCACAGTCACTTCCGATACCAACCACAAGCCCCAGGTTATTCTGCCTGTGCTTCTGACCAGCCAGCTTTTAATGGGAGTTTGCACAATCCTTTTTTCAGGTTCAATTAATTTGCTCAAGGAAAATACATGTGTTGTTATAAAAATTATAAGACGTATAGGATGAGCTCTATGAGAGGGGCACAGAGTTTCCATGCCTTCTCTGGGCCCACCCTCCAGGAACTTGCATGTGTCAGCTGTCAGAAGTTCTCCAAACCCTGTCCTTTTTGGGATTTATGGAGACTTCATTGCGTATATAAAGCATTGACAATCATGTAGAAATGTGATTGGACAAAAATGATATGATCTGCTGGGAGACTGAGAGGCCAGTCTTGGCAGCATTGCTTCCCCACAGCTTTGGAGCAGAGTCCCCTCTGACATGGGAGTCTAGTGACCTGTCAGACAGTGTAGGTCACAGAATTCCTTGCTGAATAACTCCAAGATGGTAGGGCAGGATAAAATTCTAAAGTTTATCTGTACCAAGTTTGAGGGTGAGGCCAGTGCCGCGGCTCACTAGGCTAATCCTCCGCCTTGCAGCACCGGCACACCAGGTTCTAGTCCCGGTCGGGGCGCCGGATTCTGTCCCGGTTGCTCCTCTTCCAGTCCAGCTCTCTGCTGTGGCCAGGGAGTGCAGTGGAGGATCGCCCAAGTGCTCGGGCCCTGCACCTGCATGGGAGACCAGAAGCACCTGGCTCCTGGCTTTGGATCAGCATGGTGCGCCGGCTGCAGTGGCCACTGGGGGGTGAACCAACGGTAAAGGAAGACCTTTCTCTCTGTCTCTCTCTCTCACTGTCCACTCTGCCTGTCTAAATAAATAATTAGATAAATAAAATAAAAAATTTGAGGGTGAGACATTTTAGCCTTTTTTTTTTTTTAAGATTTTTTTGAAAGAGTGACGGAGAGACAGAAAAAGATCTGTTTGGTTCATTTGCCAAATGCTAGAAACAGCTGAAACTGAGCCAGGTTGAAGCCAAGAGCCTAGAACTCCATCCAGTCTCCTACTTTGGTGTCAGGGACCCAACTGCTTGTACCATCATCCGTGGCCTTCCAGACACATAACAGGAACCTGGATCAGCAGTGTAGTATCAGGCGTAGCACTGTGGCGTAACCCCAGCATCCCATGTAGGCACTGGTTCAAGACCTGGGTGTTCCACTTCTTAATCCAGCTCCCTGATAATGTTCCTGGGCAAGCAGCAGAAAATGGCCTAAATACTTGGGCCCCTGCACCTGTGTGGGAGATCCAAGAGAAGTTCTGGGCTCCTGACTTCAAACTGGCACAGACCCAGCCCTGCGGCCATTTGAGTAGTGAACCAGTGGACAGATTCTCTCTCTTGTCTCTCCCCATCACTTTCTGTAACTGCATTTTCAAAAAAAGAGGTGGAGTATCCAAGACTCAAAATGGCACTCTGATATGGGATTTGGGCATCACAGGCAGCAGCTTAAACTCCTGCATCACAGTGTTCATCCCATAAAAAGAGCCTTGAGGAGCAGAAGCAGCAGGCAAAAGGAGAGAAGAAGGTCAGAGAGAGGTTTTTTCACTTGAGGCCTAAAGGGCCCCAATATTATAACAAAAGACTGTATTTCACTTTTAATGCTTTGGAGCTGTTCAGAAATTAATAAGAGCTATATAAATTATAAACCAGGAACTGTGGAAACAAATATATATATATATATATATGTCTGATATATATAATATATCAGACTGGTACAGAATTTAACCCATTAATGGCACTAAATGGTTATTACTATTACAGATAAAGAAATGTATATGCTCATATTTAAATTTTTATTTCTAAAGAATTGAATGTCTCCCAGTGTAAAGACATTTGTTTTTTAGTCTTCTCAAACCTACATAGTTTGGCTAGAAAAATTTAACTATTCTATTTACTCATTATAATTGTTTTTTAAAGAAGTAGCAAAAAGAGTTCTGGTTAAGGATGCTAAAATATACATCTGTCTTCCTTCCTCAAAGTCTCTTTTTTTGTTTGTTTTGTTTTGTTTTTGACAGGCAGAGTGGACTGTGAGAGAGAGAGAGACAGAGAGAAAGGTCTTCCTTTTGCCGTTGGTTCATCCTCCAATGGCCGCCGCGGCCGGCGCACCGCGCCTATCTGAAGGCAGGAGCCAGGTGCTTCTCCTGGTCTCCCATGGGGTGCAGGGTCCAAGCACTTGGGCCATCCTCCACTGCACTCCCGGGCCACAGCAGAGAGCTGGCCTGGAAGAGGGGCAACCGGGACAGAATCCGGCGCCCCGACCGGGACTAGAACCTGCTGTGCCGGCGCCGCAAGGCGGAGGATTAGCCTATTGAGCCGCGGCGCCGGCCCCCTCAAAGTCTCTTTAAACTGACTGAAAAATGAAAAAATAATAATAGATCCATTAGAGCAATGATATTAGAAAAGCATGGCATCAGTATATCCACACTTTCCAGATCTTTCTGAAAATTAGAAAGCAAATGAGATTGGATTAATAGAAATGCCTAGTTACTGAAAGCGTAGCCTCTAAAGTATTCACAAATTCAACTATCAAGATTAAAGCTGGTCTTAATGAAGCCCAAATGAGCAGACTGAAGCATAGTTAGGTAATTAAATGAAAAGACTACTTAAGGGTACAGTTAGGCTAGGTATTGTATTTCCTCTTATAGGAGTGGTTAGTTAAGAAATTGTCCCTAGAATAAAATGGGACACACAGCTCAAAAAAGACACAAAAACTGTCAGAGCTAAGGATGAAGGAGAAATTCCAAGGACAAGCACTGAGATGAGGGAGAAGCAAATCAGAGTTCAAGGTGATTTCAGAATTCCACAATCAGCTCAAAATCTGTGTGGGTTTTTGTTTTGTTTTAAAGAAAGCCGTACTCTACTATACTGAAATACCTATCAACCAACCCAAATGAAACCGTCCTTCCAAGGGCTGTTCCGTAAATTGTCTTCCTGTTTCTCAAGCATGCACTGTGAAGGGTGGCCTTTGGAGACATGCCTCTCAGTGAGCTCTGCCTGTGCATTTCAGCAGTGTGCTGGGTATGCTTATGCCAGAAGGCCAGGAAAAGACCTGAGAGATCAAAAGGATTAATAAAACCTAGTATTCACATAAGTGAGATTGTCTGCTACTACTGATAAAACTGGACCAGTGAGGTGGCAAGCAGCAAACAGTTTAAAAACAGCTTTCCTGGCCGGCGCCGCGGCTCACTAGGCTAATCCTCCGCCTTGCGGCGCCGGCACACCAGGTTCTAGTCCCCGTCGGAGTGCCGGATTCTGTCCCGGTTGCCCCTCTTCCAGGCCAGCTCTCTGCTGTGGCCAGGGAGTGCAGTGGGGGATGGCCCAGGTGCTTGGGCCCTGCACCCCACGGGAGACCAGGATAAGTACCTGGCTCCTGCCATCGGATCAGCACGGTGCGCCGGCTGCAGCGTGCCGGCCGCAGCGGCCATTGGAGGGTGAACCAACGGCAAAGGAAGACCTTTCTCTCTGTCTCTCTCTCTCACTGTCCACTCTGCCTGTCAAAATAAAAATAAAAATAAAACAGCTTTCCTGAATATCATAATAGCCGATTAGAAAAGAAAAATACCAACTAATTCATCATAACACAGTGTCTGAATGTAAAACTAATATCAAATGTGTACTACATGAATAAAACCATAATACTATACTGAAGGGTATAATTTATTGATATATTCAGTGTTGTGAAAAAAATGGTAAAATTGTAATTCGATGTATACTAATTAATGCAAAATAAGATAAATGGACCAGTGGAATAAAGTTCAGAAATGAAACTGTATGTGTACAGGAGTTCAGGATGTGAGAAGATAGTATTTCAAATCAGTGGGGGCAAAGAATCTGAAGTAAATGTGTTGGGATAATTAGCTGTTGATTGGGGGGAAGTTAAATTCATGTGTCACGTTTAAAAAATAAACCCTGGATAAATTAGAAACTAGGCTAAATTAGAAGAACACTAAAAGAAAATGACATTTTTATTATGTTGGAGTAAAGAAAATATGCAAGCCCTGAAACCCATAGAGGATGAAAAGATTTGAGTACATAACAGTGTTGAAGTCCTATGTAGTTAAAAATAACAGTAATTTACAATTAGAAAAAAAAATTGAGTTGTATAGTAGAATTGCAGGTTTCTAAAAATGTTTTTCATATGAAAATGTGTATTGGATTTTTACACATACTTTGAGTATAGCCATAAACATTTAATTTTAGTGTTCTTAAAATGATATTGTCTGAAATTAGATTATTATGGAAAAGAATAAAATTAAATTCTAATTGTATCATCTTACCAAGGTTTACAGGAAGAAAATTAATAGTAAATGAAGATTAAAAAGTCAACAGGTTTACCTTACTAATGTGTTAATAATACACACGGCTGGAACTAAAAATTTATTTCTTAAATATTGTTTTCCAGCATGTTTGTCCAAATTATTAGACCTTTGTAAAACTGGTTGGTTTTATTTATCCAGTAATTATGGTGTTAACTGATAATCTGTGTGGTTAGGTGATAAGTGTTTCCTCTGCCTTACAAGTGATTTTTTAAACAATTATAAATGTGAAGGAAATTAAGCTTATAATTATATCCTTAGGATCAAAGTTCTGACCGTACCAGTCTTTCTTCAGTGGGAGCCCAGGATTCTGAATCTACCTCTTTGACAGATGAAGAGGTCTGCCATGAGCTGGAAGGAGCCTCTTCCTCCCAAGAGAGCAGTGCCACGTCAGGGACCAAGGGGATTGACCTTAGCCGAACAAGTCTGGAAAGTTCTGCCTCCTTAGAAGGTTTGTCCAAACAGTTCTGTTCAATGCATTTGATTTATAGTATCTCTATTTTATTTCTTCATGATTTAATTTTGTGGAACATTTGCATGGCTTCAAAGGCAAAACCACAAAGCCAGGGTACTCTCAGCGAAGTCTGGCTTCTGTCCCTGCTTCTATCCTGCTTTTTCCCTGTCCCTAGAGGTAAGAACCATTTTTATTCATTTTCGGTTTATCCTTACATTATTGCTTTCTTTAAAAATATGGGTATTTATGTACTCATATTCTTATTACCTTTCTGTCTTCTTCCTCAAAAGGTAACTTACTGTAAATATTTTGTTGTCTAAAGATTTATTTATTTATTTATTTGAAAGGCAGAGTTAGAGAGAAGGAGAGACAGAGGTCTTCCATCTGATGGTTCACTTCCCAAGTGGCTACAATGGATGGGATTAAACCAGGCCAACAGTAGGAGTCAGGGGCTTCTTCCAGGTCTCCTATGTGGGTGGCAGAGGCCCAAGAACTCACACCATCTTCCACTGCTTTCCCAGGCACATTAGCAGGGAGCTGGATTGGAAGTAGAACAGCCAGGATTCAAACTGGCTCCCATGTGGGATTCCAGCACTTCCAGTGGCAGCCTAACTCACTGCACCACAGCACCAGCCCCTGTAAATATTTTCTCACACATTGTTTTTTTCACCTGATGATGTATACTGGGGGCCAGTGTTGGAGCAGTGGGTTTAGACATGGCTTGTGATGCCAGCCCAGTCCTTTCTGTTTTGGCCATCAGGGGAGTGAACCAGCAGAAGGAAATTGACTGACTCTCTCTCTTTCCCTTTCACCCTCTCTCCCTCTCTCTCTCACTCTCTGTTCTTCCCTCCCAGCCCCTCCTTCTCTCTGACACTCTCATATAGATAAATCTTTTTTTAAAAAGCTCACAATATATCCTGAAGATTATTCCATATCATCACAGAATGATTGATGACCCTCATTCATTTGTTTTTTTTTTTTTTTTAAAGATTTTATTTATTTGAGAGGCAGAGTTACAGTGAGAAGGAGAGACAGAGAGGTCTTCCTTCCATTGGTTCAATCCCTAGATGGCCGTAACAGCTGGAGCTGTGCTGATCCAAAGCCAGGAGTAAGGTGCTTCTTTCTGGTCTCCCATGTGGGTACAGGGGCCCGAGCCATCTTCTACTGCTTTCCAGGCCATAGGAGAGAGCTGGATTGGAAGAGGGGCAGCCCGGACTAGAACCAGTGCCCATATGGGATGCCAGCACCACAGGCAGAGAATTAACCTACTGTGCCACAGCGCCGGCCCAATACCCTCATTCGTTTGTTTTGTTGTTTTTTGGGTTTTTTTGTTTGTTTGTTTGTTTTTTGACAGGCAGAGTTAGAGAGAAAGGTCTTCCTTTTTCCATTGGTTCACCCCCCAAGTGGCTGCTATGGCCGGCACGCTGCGCTGATCCGAAGCCAGGAACCAGGTGCTTCCTCCTGGTCTCCCATGCAGGTGCAGGACCTAAGCACTTGGGCCATCCTCCACTGCCTTCCTGGGCCACAGCAGAGAGCTGGCCTGGAAGAGGAGCAACCAGGACAGAATCCGGCGCCCCAACCGGGACTAGAACCCGGGGTGCCCGCGGTGCCGGCCCATTAGTTCGTTTTAAAGGTTTTTTTATGTATATGTTTGTTTATATAAATATATATGTATTTATTAAAGAATTTTTTGTTTTAAAGCTTTATGTATATATTTATATAAATGATTATTTTATTTATGCATATATTTATTTATATAAAGTCAGAGTTACAAAGAGAGAGATCTTCCATCTACTAGTTCACTCTCCAAATGGCCACAATGGCCAGGACTGGTGTGGGCCAAAGCCACAAGTCAAGAGCTGCTTCCACGTCTCCCACATGCGTGGCAGGGGCCCAGATACTTGGGCCATCTTCTGCTGCTTTTCCCAGGCCATTAGTGGGGAGCTGGATTGGAAGTGGAGCAGCCTTGATATGAACTGGCACCCTTATGGGATGCTGGCATTACAGGCAGCAGCTTAACATACTACACCAAAATGCTGACACTCCCCCATTCTCTTTTTTTTAATAGTATGATGGTGTTTTATTTTTTTTATTTAAGATTTATTTATTTATTTGAAAGGCAGAGTTACAGAGAGGCAGAGGGAGAGAGGTCTTCCATCCACTGATTCACTCCCCAGATGGCCACAAAGGCCAGAGCCGGGCTGATCCAAAGCCAGGAGCCAGAAGCTTCTTCCAAATCTCCCACACGAGTTCATGGGCCCAAGGACTTGGGCCATCTTTCTCTGCTTTCCCATGCCATAGCAGAGAGCTGGATCGGAAGTGGAGCAGCTGGGATTTGAACTAGCGCTCAAATGGGATGCTGGCACTTGACGGTAGCAGCTTTACCTGCTATGCCACAGCGCTAGCACCCCTCCCCTTTCATTTTTTTAGCTGCATAGTTCAGCCTGTGTACCTGTGTCATAGTTTATTTTAATCACTTCCGTATCAATGGACATGAAGTTTCTAGTTTTTGTAATTCTCCAATACATATATATCATACTGATTTTTGTAGCATATCTTTGGAAGATACTGCAGGATTCTTGAAGTAATAATGCCAAGTTCCTTTCCACAGGTGTACTATTTTGCATTCCCACTGTCAGTGTATGAGAGTACCTGTTTGCCTAAAGCTTGTCAACACAGTATGTTGGAAAATTTTGTTTGTGTCATATGATAGGTAAAGAATGGATTTGGGGTTTCTTGTTTTTGTTTTTTTTTTTTTTAATTTTATTTATTTGAGAGGCAGAGTTACTGACAGAGGGAGAGAGAGAAAGGTCTTCTATCCACTGGTTCATTCCCCAAATGCCTGCAATGGCCAGAGCTGGGCTGATCCAGACTGGGGCCTCTTCCAGTTCTCCTACACAGATACAGAGGCCCAAGGACTTGGGCCATCTTCCACTGCTTTCTCAGGCCATAGCAGGGAGCTGGATCAGAAGTGGAGCAGTGGGAACATGAACCAGCACCCACATGGGATGCTGGCACCACAGCAGGGGTCTCACCCACTACACCACAACACCGACCTCCAGGTTTGGTTTTAATTTATGTTTCTTTTATGAAAATCAAGTTGAGAACCTGTATATTTAAGGATTATTTGTATTTCTCTGGGAACTATCCTTTTCTTACATTTTAATCATTAGTCATGTTGGGCCAGGGGTGAGGGTGGGGGTGGTGGAGAAAGTATCCTCCCATCCTCTGGTTTACTTCCTAAATGCCTGAAAGCCAAGAACTCAATCCATGTCTTCCATGTGTGTGACAGGGACTCAGCCACTTGAGCCATCACCTGCTGCCTCCCACACATAGCAGGAAGCTAGAATTGGAAGGTGAGCTGGAACACAAACACAGGGACTGCAATGTGGGATGCAGGGATCCCATGTGATATCTTAAAAAAAGATATTTTTATTTATTTGAAACACAGAAATAGAAAGAAGGATAGAGAAAGAGAATCTTCTGTCCACTGGCTCACTCAACCAAATAACTGCAATGGCCAGGGCTGGGTCAGGCTTGAAACCAGGAGCTTCTTCCAGATCTCCCATGTGGGTTGCAAGGGGCCCAAGTTTTTGGGCCATCTTCTGCTACTTTCTTAGGTCCATTAGCCGGAAGCTGGGTTGGAAATGAAGCAGCTGGGATTCAAACCAGCTCTCATATGGGTTGCCAGCACTGCAGATGGAGGCTTAACCTTCTACACCACAGTGCCACACTCCAACATGATATCTTAACTGCTGGGCTGAATGTCTATTTTTTTGTACATAGTATTACCTATTTGTATATTAGGAAATAATATTTTGTCTCAGATAACTTGCAGATACTTTCTTTTATCCAAGTTTGGCATTTTGTTCTGTTTTTGTTTTTGTTTTTAATTTTATGTTGTCATATTTATCAGTCTTTCCTCTTATTGCTTCCTGATTTTGAGTTGTTGCATTTCCCTTTCCCAAGGAATTCTAGTGTGTTTTTTCTTTTTAAGATTTTTAAAAATTATTTATTTCCATTTATTCGAAAGAGTGAGAGATGTTCCCTCCAGTGGCCCACACCCCAAATGCCCTCAACAGCCTGGGCTGGGCCAGGCTGAAGCTGGGATGCCATAATTCCATCCACATCTCCCACATATGCGGCAGGCACCCAAATACATGAGCATCATCTGCTTCTTCCCAGGGAGGATGCTGGCCATGGGTTTGTCTTAAATTGCCTGGATTGTATTGAGAAATTTACCTTCTATACCCAGTTTGCTTAAGATTTTTATCATGAAAGGATGTTGTATTTTACCAGTGCTTTCTCTGTGTTCATTGAGATAATCATATGGTTTTTATTCTTCAATTTGTTAATGGGATGTATCACACTTGTTGAATTGTGTATGTGAACCATCCCTGCATACCAGGGTAAAATCCCACTTGGTCCTGGTGAATGATCTTTCTGATGTGTTGTTGGATTTGATTAGCTAATGTTTCATTTAGTATTTTTGCGTCTATGTTCTTCAAGGATATTGGTCTATAATTCTCTTTCTTTGTTGTACCTTTTTCTGGTTTTAGAATTAAAGTGATACTGGCCTCATTAGAAGAGTTTCGGAGTTCCCTCCAAGGAGATCCCTTGCTTTCAATTGTCTTGAATAACTTGAGAAGAGTTGGAATTAGTTCTTTAAAAGTCTGGTAGAATTCAGGCGTGAAGCCATCCCAGTCAGAAGCCGAGCTGAGACTCAATCACAGGCACTTAGAGATGAAATGCAGGCATCTTAACCACTGTGCCAGATGTCCATCCCTCCCCAGTGTTTTCTTGTGTTGCTTGTGTGGTTTGCCTTTTTTAAAAAAATTTTCTGAGGCCTTCAGACTTTATTCAATATATAGATTTCATGGACTACAAACATCTCTGTCATTTATTTTTCTCTTTGATAAACAACCATTTAAAATGTGAAACCCATTCTTAGCTCAAGGCTGTTCCAAAGTAAATTTGACCCTGATTTCAGTATTTGAACTATTTGAAATGTATAATTGTATATGGTGTGAGGAATATAGTACATATTTTTTTTTCATTTGTGCCTTTGCTCTTTCAAAAAGCTTTTATTGTGGAAATTTGCAAACATACACAAGAGTAAAGGGAATAGCATGATGTCCCCCATGTATCCTTCACCCAACATTTATCAGCAAATAGCCAGTCTTCTCTCTGCTGCCAACATTTTTTTCCTTCACCACTGGATAATTATAAAGTAAATCCCAGGTGGCATACAGTTTATTTCATATATAGTTCAATATGGTTCTCTAAAATAAAAGACTTTATGTTACATGCTTTAAAAGATTTGTTAAGTATAACAGGTAGAATGTACATGAACTTCACAGATGGAGCACACCTGGAAGAAAAACCTAACCTACAACCCGAATCATATTTAATAAATTTAATGTTCTGTGCTGTAGAATAATTAGATACAGAAGGTAACTTGCCCACATAAATTACTGCAATGGTCAAGGCTAATAGAAGGCATTAGAAATTTTGAACTACCTTTAGCAGATGGATTATAGGTTATTATGGAAACATCAAGGAAAAACAGTTACACCAGCTCTAAGTATTTTAGAGGATGGCATGAGGTTTCAGATCTCTCTTTATGCCTCATTAGGGTGGCTCAGTGTGACAGGGGCTAGGGCCAGTGATAGCTCTGGAGTTCTGTTGTTTTTTTTGTTTTGTTTTTTGGTCATTTATTTGCAATATTGGCAATCGGGCCATTAGTCTGGATCTACTGATTGATTGCATCCCTATGCTGGTGGTTAATGTTTTTCTATCCCCTCTATTATTAACTGGTAATTTACACCATTTCTTAACCTTTACTTTATATTTATAAAAATACCCATGTTCATTCATAAAATTTAGTGATGAAATAAAAACAATGTATAGACAAGATTTAGATCACCTCCAGTTTTACTGACTTCTAAGGGTACAGTTTAAAAATTTGTCATGGGACTCCAAATCCCATTAAGTTGGGTGATAAAAATGTCATATTAAGTGTTAAAGTGATCATATTAAATGTTAAAGTGAACATATAGATAGGATTAAGTGTTAAAGCGAACATATAAATAAGATCAAGTGTTTGGTAATAATAAAATTTAGAATTAAAAAAGAGAGTATGTTCTAACATGAGAAGCAGTCCACACAGTAGACTCATAAAATGACAATTGCTTTAACCACTTCTGACCCTGCTAATGTCCCTGGGAAAACAGCAGAGGATGGCCTAGGTTCTTGGGCCCCTACACCTATTTGGGAGACCCAGAGGTGTCTCCTAGCTTTGGACCAGCTCAGCTCTGGCCATTGTGGTCATTTGGTGAGTGAATGCATAGATGGAAGATCTTTGCCTCTCTGTTACTGTAAAACTCTGCCTTTCAAATAAATAGATATTAAAAAAAGGGCAATGGGATATTAGACTTTTTCAAGATTGATTTATTTATTTGAAAGGCAGATTTACAGAGAGGCAGAGTCAGAGAGAGAGAGAGAGAGAGAGAGGTCTTCCATCTGCTGGTTCTCTCCCCAGATGGCAGTGGAGGATGGCTCAAGTGCTTGGGCCCTGCACCCCATGGGAGACCAGGAGAAGCACCTGGCTCCTGCCTTCGGATCAGGCCGCAGAGCGCCAGCCGTGGCGGCCACTGGAGGGTGAACCAACGGCAAAAGGAAGACCTTTCTCTGTCTCTCTCTCACTATCCACTCTGCCTGTCAAAAAAAAAAAAGCTTACTTTTGGGGCCAGCGCTGTGGCTCAGTGGGTTAAAGCCCTGGCCTGAAGCTCTGGCATCCCATATGGCTGCAGGTTCTAGTCCCAGCTGCTCCATTTCCAGTCCAGCTCTCTGCTATGGCCTGGCATAGCAGTGGAAGATGGCCCAAGTCCTTGGGCCCCTGCACCCATGTGGGAGACCCGGAAGAAGCTCCTGGCTCCTGGCTTCGGATTGGCACAGCTCTGGCCATTGAGGCCATCTGGGGAGTGAACCAACAGATGGAAGACCTCTCTCTCTGTGGATCTGTCTTTCAAATAAATAAAATCTTTAAAAAAATCTTACTTAAATCTAACTAAAGTAAAAGTAAACAATATCTGTTACACATTACTATAAGCAGTTCTGTAAAATAAGAAAATATTAGCCACAACTGAAGGCTGAATGGAAAGAAACAGCAAAGAAGTTCTGGAAAATTAAGTCTCTAAAAAATTCACTGTGTGTTCATAACTGATCATAAAGATAGAATTAAGTGTCAAAGGGATCACATAAATAAGACCAAGTGTCCGCTAATAATAATAGAATTTAAAAGGAGAGAACAATCCAACATGGGAAGCAGGATACACAGCAGATTCATAGAATGGCAGATGCCCTAAACAGCACTTTGGCCTCAGAATCAGCCCTTAAGGCATTCAGGTCTGGCTAAAAAGCCCATGAGAGCATTTCAGGCATGGAAAGCCAAGACACTGTGGCAAAAACAAACAAACAAACAAACAAACAACAACAACAACAACTACATGAAAGATCTCTGTGAGTGAGATCCTGGTGGAAAGAAGGGGCCATCGAAGAAGGAGGTACCTTTCTCTGAAGGGAGGAGAGAACTTCCACTTTGAATATGGCCTTGTCTAAATAAGGTCAGAGTTTGTGGATTCAAGAGGCTTCCATAGCCTTGGCAGCTCATGACAAGAGCCTCAGGTGGGTGATCACTGATGTCATAAATAAAGAGTGTCAGTTGTTAACAACAGGAGTCACTGTGCACTTGTTCCCCATGTCAGACCTCTGTCCTTAATGTGTTGTACTAAAAGAGTTAACAGTAAAACTAGTCTTCAAACGTACTTTATATTTTGTGTGTCTGTGGGTACAAACTGTTGAAGTCTTTACTTAGTATAGAGTTGATCTTCTGTATATAAAGATAATGAAAAATGAATCTTAATGAAGGACATATCGGATAGGAGGTGGGACGGTTTGGGGGTGGGAGCATGGCTATGGGGGAGAACCACTATAATCCAAAAATTGTACTTATGAAATTAGTATTTATTAAATAAAAGCTTCCTTTAAAAAAATTCACTGTATGAGATTGCTGTAGCTCTTAAGAAGCTGCTTGTGGGGGTTGGTGTTGGGGCACAGTGGGTTAAGCTGCTGCCTGCAATGGGTGCGAATTCAAGTTCTAGCTGTTCTGCTGATCCAACTCAGCAGAGGGTGGGGCCCCTGCACCCACGTGGGTGATCTGGAAGAGGCTCTTAGCTCCTTGTTTCTGTCTGGTCCAGCACTGGCTGTTTTAGCTGTATGTGGAGTGAACCAGCAGATGGAAGATCTCTCTCTCTCTCTGTCACTGTCTTTCAAATAAATAAATTTTTTTTTTTTTAAAGAGTATGCTTGAGAATTCATCCCAGTTGTTTAAGTGCAAGATTACTGTACCAGTTCTTTAAAGATTCTTATAAGGCAGAGAATTACCACTAAATCCTATTGTGATTTGAAATAAGTTTAGTTAGTACTTTTTAGACCTTGCAACTGTGTTTATGGAGGAAGAACTAGAACCAGCACAATGGTAATCATAAACATCTGGCGTGCTTTCCAGCTTGTACACAGAAGGTACTTAATATACTCAGCATATGGGAATCAGTAGAATTAAAGCACATTTCCTTAGATTTTTTTCAATACAAAATACATGCATTGAAAATTTTATTATTACCTGTTTTTTTTTCTAAATTAGCATTTGTATTTTTCATAGGTTACTTTTTCATGAGAATTTATGGAAACAAAAGATGCTTATCTCCTTTCTCATTAATTTTAATGATTTTGTCCTTTATTTTTTACTAATGAACAGGATCCCTGTCAAAGTTTGCGTTACCTGGGAAATCGGAAGTGACATCTTCATTCAACATGAGTAATACAAATATCTTCCAGAACTATGCAATGGAGGTACAGTCAAACAGACATTTCCTTGTACTACCTTATAAATGTTACATTTAAATATTCATAGTCCCTGGAGAGATCCTTATAAAATTTAAATATATAGCATCTAAATATCTAAAATTTCAGAATGTTTATCAAATCTGAATAAAGTGAAAATCCAGTTTTTGGATATCCATTATTTCAGATTATTGAAGTCATATTACTTTATTGCTCTTAGAACAGTTCCATGGTTACTTTGAGAGTCATAGTGTACAAAAGCATTTTCATTTTTCACCATTTGAATTTATTCCTTGTTATATATAAGCTCTCTTTGAATGTTTATTTCTTCTTCTTCTTCTTCTTCTTCTTCTTTTTTTTTTTTGTAAGATTGATTTTATTTATTTAAAAGGGAGAGGGGGAGAGAGAGATACTCCATCTGCTGGTTCATTGCCCAAATGGCCGCACCAGCCAGAGATGGGCCAGATCGAAGCCAAGAGCCAGGAGCTTCTTCCAGTCTCCCACATGGGTAAATGGGCCCAAATACCTGAGTCATTGAGCCCTCCTCCACTGCTTTCCTAGGCCATTAGCAGGGAGCTGGATGGGAAGTGAAGCATCTGGGATATGAACCAATGTCCATATGGGATGCTAGCATCTCAGGTGGCAGCTTTATCCCCTATAGTGCTTTAAAAAAAAAAATGGCCGGTGCCATGGCTCAATAGGCTAATCCTCCGCCTGCGGTGCCGGCACATTGGGTTCTAGTCCCGGTCGGGGTGCCAGATTCTGTCCCAGTTGCCCCTCTTCCAGGCCAGCTCTCTGCTATGGCCCGAGAGTGCAGTGGAGGATGGCCCAGTCCTTGGGCCCTGCACCCGCATGGGAGACCAGGAGAGGCACCTAGCTCCTGGCTTCGGATCAGCGCAATGCACCGGCCACAGCGCACCAGCCATGGCGGCCATTGGAGGGTAAACCAACAGCAAAAGGAAGACCTTTGTCTCTGTCTCTCTCTCTCACTGTCCACTCTGCCTGTCAAAAAAAAAAAAAAATTTATTTATGTGAAAGTCATAGTAACAGAGAGAGAGAGAGACAGAGAGGAAGACAGAGATCTCCCATCCATTGGTTCTGTCCCTAAATGGGGACAACAGCCACGGCTGTTGAAATTGGGAGACAGGAACTGTATCTGAGTCAGCCACAAGAGTGGCAAAGGGCCATGCACTTGGGCCAACATCTGCTGCCTTCCCAAGCACATTACCGGGAAGCTGGATCAGAAGTAGAGGAGCTAGGACTTGAACTAGCACTCCAATAAGCAATGCTGGTGTCACAAGCAGCAGCTTAACCTGCTACACCACAGTCCTGGTTCTTACAGCAAGGTTTTTAAATTGTCTGTGGTGGGAGACCACAGCTGCTTTTGTCTGTTTAATTTCTATTTTGTTTTAGCTAATATTATTGTAAATTACATTGATTACACACTTAGATGTTATGGCTATGTCAGATTACTTTAAAAAGTTTCTAAATCCTCCCAATAATTTCTTTATTTACCCCATCACAAACTAGTAAGAATTTATGGACCATCTCAGGTGTGGTAACCATACTTTGAGTAGCACTGAGCTATAGTATATAAATAATTGCAAATATTGTTCTGAGCGTTAAGAAATTAATGCTGGAGTTTAGTTTTCATTAATAAAACTACAGCAAATTTTGTAGTAATTACAGTGGAAGAAAATCCTCACTTACATGCAAGTTTCTCTTTCAGGCAAAAATTTTGGAAGAGATTTAACTGAAATAGTCAAAGATGATTATAGTAAATAATGCAGCAAATGTAATCCATTTTTTGTTTTTATAATGTCTGTATCCTGATGAGTTTTACTTTTTCAATGGATTTATGAAATGGTGTTTAATCCAGCTTGCTTTATAAAGTGCCGTCTTCTCCCCTAGGTTCTCATCTCAAGTTGTTCTCGGTGTAGAACTTGTGATTGTCTTGTCCATGATGAAGAAATCATGGCTGGCTGGACAGCAGATGATTCAAATCTCAATACTACGTGCCCATTCTGTGGCAATCTTTTCTTGCCCTTTCTGAATATTGAAATCAGAGATTTAAGACGACCTGGAAGGTAATGATAATATGCTTTTTTCCCTCAGTGTTTAAGTATCATGTTTCCTAGAGTATCTCTTTTCTCAAAAGGCTCTTTTGATTCACATTACAGATACTTTTTGAAGTCAAGCCCATCTACAGAAAATATTCACTTTCCATCCTCCTTTTCAAGTCAAACAAGGCGGTCTTGCATTTCAACATCAGCCTCTGGTCTTGATACATCTGCTGTCGATGTTCAAGGGAATTTTGATCTAAACAGGTAATTATGATTATGTGGAACAACATATATTACACATGTTTTAGATGTATGACATAAAAATTAGCAGACCATTTGAGGTTTAAATTTCTATAAAAAGTAGATTCATAACCTTAAATTGTTATACCTAGTTAAAACATTATTAAAGCCAATAGCTTAGATAACTAACATAAAGTTATATGTTATGCATGTTATGCTTTATGAATCCCGAGTTTAAGCTATGTGTCTATATAATATTTATTTACTAGTATTTTAAACGTCAAAAGAAATGGGTAGAACACTTTAGGTTTATAATGACCATCTTATCTCCATTTCTTCAAGAATTAGGTCAGTGCTAACTCCTGCTTTGGAACATTTAATTTTCCACTGTAGAGTATCTAATAATCTAAGAAAACATTAGTGTAAGAACTATAAAACTAAACTAAGACTTACACAGTAGCCTAATGTAAGGAAATGTTCTCTTAAATGCAGAAATCAGCTCCTTTTTGCAGAAGTGCCAAATGGACCAGAGGTAGCTAGAGAGGTGAAACCATGTTGGCAGCTGCATGTGTAAAAGAAATGCTTATATGGTACTGGCAGACTAATGCAACCTGTGTGATCCTAAATACTTACGCAGTGAAAACAAACGCACCTCCTTTCATCTTAGTTCTCTTGGGGTCCTTGTCTTTGACCCTCTTCTACGAGCTTGTGATGCCTAAAGGAGTGTGTGCGCATTTGCTCTGTTTCCCACTCCTAAGGCCTGGTGTGATTCCTGCTACATAACGGTTGTGCACTAAGTGTTTCGCATGAGTGAGTGAATCTTGACTACTTAAAGTTCCCTTGATTAAAAAAAGGAAATTTGACATGACTACATTTCCTAAAAATATATCCTATTTCCAGCTGAAGCCTAAGTAACATTTCTTTAGATTTATTTTATTGTCTCTGGTTCCAATTCTAAAGAGAAGAACATAGTTCTTCTAGATAAAATGAAATATGTCTAGACACTGATGTGCTTTTTTCTTTTTTTGACACCAAAGTAAATCTAAACTGCAGGAAGATTCCTGTGCTCGAAGTATTCAGATCCCTGCTAATAGATCAAAAACAACCATGTCAAAATGTCCAGTATTTCCAATGGCCCGAAGCATTAGTACTTATGGCCCCTTGGATAAGGAAGATACCGGAGGACAGAAACTCATTCCTACAGGCAGCCTGCCAGCTACTTTACAAGGAGCTACAGTATGTATTTTGCAATTTTTTTCCTTTACAAATGATTTTGTTCCCCTTATCCTAAAAAGCCTTATAAGCTTCAATTTTGTTAGTGTCAAGAAGATTGTCTCTTTTATGATGTAATTGTGTTACCTTTAAAATCATTGGCAGGGTTTTTTTTTAATGGTTTAATAAAAATCATTCTTATATTATTTACCATTTATGGGTTTTATTTATTCAACAGGATTCTTTAGGATTAGAATGGCACCTTCCAAGTCCAGATCCTGTCACTGTTCCATATCTTAGTCCTTTAGTGGTCTGGAAGGAACTGGAAAGCTTACTGGAAAATGAAGGCGATCATGCGATAGCAGTGGCAGACTTTGTGGACCATCACCCCATTGTGTTTTGGAACCTTGTGTGGTATTTCAGACGCCTTGACTTGCCCAGTAACTTACCTGGATTGATTCTTTCTTCTGAGCATTGTAACAAGTATTCAAAGGTATGAGACTAAAAATCAACTAAAAGGCAATGACACTGTTACCATGTAATGTTTGCATATTCCTAGTGATAAAAAGTAAGGTTTGTTTTTATGCTAAGTAGTTTATTTATTTGAGAAGCACAGTTAGACAGAGGGAGAGCCCGAGAGAGAGGTCTTCCAACCCCTGCATCACTCCCCAAATGGCCACAATGGGTGGAGCTGAGCTGATCCAAAGCCAGAAGCCAGGAGCTTCTTCTGGGTATCCCACATGCATGCAGGGGCCCAAGGACATGAACCGGTACCCATATGGGATGCTGGTGCCACAGGCAGAGGCTTAGCCTAACACGCCATGGCACTGGCCCCACTAAGTGGTTTTAATAACCATCTAAATCATTAGATAAATAAAACTGTTGTAGTTGCATTTACAAAAAATTTGTTTCTTCTTACAGTCTAGAAAGAACAATAAAATTGTTTTTTTTCTGTTTGTTTTGTTTTAGCCTTCTACAATTTACACAAAATGTGCTTGAATGTTTGTTAAAGCTCCAAAAATAGGGGCCGGTGCTATGGCATAGTGGGTAAAGCCACCACCTGCAGTGCCGGCATCCTATATGGGCACCGGTTCGAGTGCCAGCTGCTCCACTTGTAATCCAGCTCTCTGCTATGGCCTGGGAAAGCAGTAGAGGATGACCCAAGTCCTTGGGCCCCTGCACCCACGTGGGAGACCCAGAAGAGGCTCCTGGCTCCTGGCTTTAGATCAGCACAGCTCCAGCCATTGGGGCCAATTGGGGAGTGAACCAGTCCTCTCCTCTCTCTGTGTAACTCTGACTTTCAAATAAATAAATAAATATATATATATTTTTAAAAAGTAAAAATCAGAAGTAAAAAAAAAAAAATGTTCCAAAAATAAATTGGAAATGACTCTTAAGAGTTTGTGAGTTAACCCCACTCATGCTATACAAGCCTAACAGTTTTTAGGAGGATTTCTGTAATTCATATTTCAACCATAGGATACCATTTTCTTTATTTCTTTACTCTGAATGTTTGCTTAACATTTAGTCAGTTAGGTTGGTGCATGTTCATTGTATTTTTGCTGTGTTCTATAAAAGTCTATGTTTTCAGAAGCTAGCTCCACCACTAAACTGCAGTCTGAGTTCAGGAATTTTGTCTTCTCGCTCCTTCTTCTTCATGTCTGTGACTGTACAGGCGCAGTATAAATGAGTGACTAGAGGTTACCTCACACTTACTTGGGCTAGGCTACTGGACTGATAGAGAGTGGGACCCCTGGACTCATCAAACATGAGCAGGAGGACCAGATTGGCCCTTCACGGAACTCTTTCTCCCTCACCGCAATTACCTCCTTAAATCATTAACTTCTCATTCTGAGTATTTTCCTGTAGTAGATATCAAATGCATGTACGTAGGTCTCTCTGTCCTTTCTCTCTCATGCACAAGTATCCTTAAAAATGTGTAAAGATTATGTAAGCTATTTACAAAAAGTGATCATGTAAGAATCATTAATGGATGCTTGTTTATTCCGTAACACAGATTCCCCGCCACTGTATGTCTGAAGATAGTAAACATGTTTTGATACAGATGTTGTGGGACAATATGAAGTTACATCAGGATCCAGGACAGCCCTTGTACATCCTCTGGAATGCTCACAGTAAGTACCGTCAGGGAATGGTGACGTCTTCCCTGTGAGAGCACTCTATGCCTGCTTTAAATAGCTAAACTAATGTATAACTGACTTCTACTGTACTACTTTTTGTCTTACAGGTCAAAATCGTACTCTTTTGTTTGAGAGTGAGTGTTAAGTTTGACTTTGTTTTTTTAGTGTTACCTTCTGTGGAGGTCTAGGTGGTTTTGGGTTTTGGTTTTCTTTTGATTTGGTTTTTAGGGGGCGCTGTGTATGTGTTAGAGGGGTCGATTGTGTTTTGTACAGTTCAGCTTTCAGCACATTGCTTGTCCCAGTTTCTTTGTTTTACTTATTTTTTTTTGTTTGACTGCATCTCAGACTGCTGCTGTGTAATCTCCTTAAGGGGTTTTATTAAAGGAAACAGTATTTTTAGTTATTGTCTATTTGAACTGCAGAAAGCTTTAGAGCTATTTTGGTTATTATTTGTTGAATTTTTTTCCTTTTTGGCTGTCTTCATTCTTAGATTTCTGTTCCTTTATATGTTGCCCTTATTTTAAGTGCTTTGTAGCATTTGTATTAGCTGTTATTGCTCCTTAATTTTCTTCTCCTTTCTCCACAGATCATTTTCCTTCATCTGCTCTTTTCTTCTTTTCACAGCCCAAAAGTATCCCATGGTCCATTTATTACAAAAGAGTGATAGCTCATTTAACCAAGAGCTATTGAAAAGTATAGTTAAAAGCATTAAAATGAATGACGTCTATGGCCCAATGAGTCAGATTTTAGAGACACTGAGTAAGTGTCCACACTTTAAAAGACAGAGGTAAGTCACTCTCTTAAACAAATACATTGTTCCTCTAAGGAAGATTCATACTGTTTGCTTAGTAGTTTGTTATTATATCTCATGCTTCTGTTAGCTTAAAAGCATTTATAGAGAGCATATAGACTACATGGGTATTAATATTTTCTCCATGTCTTGCCCCATCCCAGGAGTTTATACAGAGAAATACTATTTCTCTCACTTGTGGCACTGGGAAGAGAAAACATTGACATAGGTAATTCAGCATAATATATAACATTTAATATTTATATGTCATAGTATATTTTCAAAGTTTTTATATTCATAGTATTTGTTATTATATTAACTTGTTAGAAGAATTATTTCTTTGTGTTTTTTTTTTTGTTTTGTTTTCTGTTTTTGCCTTATGGTCCTGGTAGTAATAATAATGATGGTAATAATTGTAGTAATAAAATTAGTGGTAATAACAGTGATAAATAATAAAAGTTGACTGCTTACTAGGTGGCTCAAACTGTAGCCCATGCTTTCCATGTATCATCTCACATAATTCTTTTAAAAGTCCTACCTATGACACTGAAACCATTGTTACTTTTATGTTATTGAGGATACTGAAGGTCTGAAAGTTCAATATCTTAATTGCAAGTTTCATAGTAATAATAGATCCATATTGGAACCAAACAGTTTTAATTTCCAATCCCATGCTTTTAACTATTGTATTATGTCACTAATGACATTAAGCTTGTTCACAAAGAATGAAAGAGGGCTGGTCATTTGATGCAAAGCTTAAAATGCAACTGGGGACACTGCATCCCATATCAGAGTGCCTGGGTTTGAGTCCCTGCTGCACTTCCAATCCAGTTTCCTGCTAATGCACACCCTGGGAGACAATAGTCAATGGCTGAAGTGCCAGTGACGTGGGAAACATGGATGGAGTTCCAGGCTCCTGGCCTTGGCCTGGTCTAGCCCCAGCTGTTGCATGCAACTGGGGAGTGAGCCAGCAGATGGAAGATCTCCCTGTCACCCTTTCAAATAACTAACTAAAACTTAAAAAAAAAAAAAATCAGGTAGCCAAATATACATGCTAGAAGTTCCCAGACTTTGGTTGGTCACCACCTTCTCTCAGTTATTATTGTATCAGCCTCTCTTAAGCTTCCATTTCAAGCCTCTTGTTGATTCCCATTTCTAGGTCCTAAGAAAAAGAAGAACTAGTCCACTGGTAGGCCAAAGTAAGAAAATTAGCGTTCAACTGAATTTAGATTGCTGTCAGACCTTGAGAGACTTTGGCAGAGTTTTGGCCTTCTCTTTGGATAATTTGTATATGATTAAGAGGTTTCTTGTGTGGTATCTACTGTGGGTGCCAGCTTAATTAAGCCTATTCACCAATTAACATATATGTGATGGATTCTGCTTCTCTTAGGTGATTGTATGCAGGTCTTAAGAAAGACCTAAAATTCTTTAACATCAGCAGTTGCATTGACTTTTAAAGCAACACAGCTGTTTATTAGTGGCATCAGAGTCATAATGATAATGTCTGATAAGCATATATGCACTTTTATAAGTTACTCGATGAAGCATGAATAGAGAGCCAGGACCCCCCACCCCCCACCCCGTGTGCTGCCTCCCAGCAGTCACTCGGGGTGAGTGACAGCGTGATTAGTGAAGCAGAGGGCGGGCACCATCCCTGACTGGGTCTCTCAGTACCATCTGACCAGAGGTGACTTCTGGGAATTTTCAGCCTTCATGCCAAGAGAAAGATTGTAGCATTTGTGAGCAAAGGTGTGTATGAGTGAAATGGGTGTGATATTTTAAATTAAATAAGCACTTAAAGGATAAAGACAAGGACATTAATTTAGTTAGAAAAAAAATAAGTCTGCTCATATAGAAGACAGCAGTGGGAAATTGGCTTACACTGAAATGGCCTTAAAGGATTTAGATATAAACCCAAGCCACATAGTTGTCTTTGTTTTAAAAAAGAAGCATGATCCAGAAAAATATAATCAGAGGACACTACTTGGAAGTCACATTAAATTGCTCACCACCTAGTTGAAATAAAACTGGGAAAATTTTGAGAAGCCCAGTAGAAATGTAGAAATTATTTAGAGTTAAGGAATATTTGATGGAGAACACTAAAGTACAGCTGTATTGAACCTGTAAATAAATACTGTATGAAAATGGTGAGCTCCCCTTCCAACTAGAAAGAGGGAAAAATGAGTGGGTTCAAATTCCAACTAGGGGATTTTAAGCAGAATCTTTTAATATTTGTTTTTTACTGTAATGGTTGTAAAACATTGGAGACTACTAAAAATAAGAAAATTGAGAAATGTTGCCTGCATAGTTATTCTGAAAAAATATTTTGCAGGAATAGATAAGAATAAAAAAATAGTGAAGGAAATAAGGGAATTAAAAGGGCACCCTAGAAAATATCTAGCTAGCACAAAAGAGGGGAGTAATGGAGGAGTTGGGTGGGAGCATAAGACACATGAGTAATCTTCATGGAAAATGCTGTTCCCCCTTCCCTAAAAAAAAAAAAAAAATAGGTGGAGTGGGCATTTAACCTAGCAGTTAAGTCACCAGCATTCCACATTGGAATGCCTGGGGTTGACACCTGGCTCTGGCTTATGACTCCAGCTTCCTGTTACTGCAGACCCTGGGAAGCAGTGGTGATAGATCTATGTGGGTCCCTGCCACCACTCACATGGGAAACCTGAACTAGGTTTTCAGCTCCCAGCTTCAGCCTAGCCCTAGCTCAGCCGTAGCCCAGCCCTAGCCATTACAGGCATCTGAAGAGTGAACCAGCAGGTGGATACTTGCTCACTCTCTCAAATATTTAAAAATAAGTAAAATTTAGCATCATGAAACTCTTTTAGGTTTCACTGGTCTGTGCAATCCAGCTCTAAAATGCACAGGTGCCTAGCTTTGTAATTTGTTGTCCTTTGGATGGCAGAAATATCCTAGAGATTACTTCTTGGTCTGTAATTTTGTGGTCCTGTAATATCACAGAAGCTTGATTATTGTCTACATCAGACATAAATGTTGTTGTGCCTTTATTTTTACAGATGCATTTGATAAGGAGTACAAGATGGCATATGACCGTCTGACACCTAGTCAAGTCAGGAGCACACACAACTGTGACAGACCACCAAGCACAGGGGTGATGGAGTGTCGGAAAACCTTTGGAGAGCCTTATCTTTAAGACGTGTGTGTGTGTGTGTGTGTGTGTGAGAACACTCAATATATATGTACAGTTGGTGTATAAAGGAACGCTTTTGAACTCTAAACTTTTTTCTTCAATCTTTGAGAACGCTTTTGTAAATGGTTCAGAAGGCTCAGGTGGTTTCTGTACAGATGTTTTGAGGAGAGACTGTGACCACTAAGGAGAGAGCCACTTGGTTCCCCAGTTCTTTTTTTTTTCCCCCCTTTAACTCTCCTATAATAAATAATTAAGTATTTTTGTGATGAGGAAACCCCTAAAGGAAATTAGTTGCCATAAAATAGACAACTCTGTTATGGTTTCTCTTGAAAGAGATGGGAAAGTCAGGTATGGAACCTCAGCAGAAATGTGAGATCAAAGTATCTCCTGTTTTTCATAGCCTATTCAGATATTTTGACCATGAAGTTGTATTATACATATTTTAAATTGTTTATAGTAAGTTGATATTTTTTTAATTTTTAAATTTAATATAGCAAACTTAAAATGAACTTAAACTTACAAAACAAGCATTTATTTTCCTTGTCTGCTGCTATTTGAAGTAATTAATTAGTACAGCTGCAGATCTCTCTATATGTATATATATCTATCTATATATTTTTTATTACTTGGGAGAATGAATTTTAAAACGTCAGTGCTAGTGTCGGTGTTGTTCTAGGATTGCTTGTTAGTACCCTAAGCCCGACTGCGCTGAGTCATGGCAGGCTTAGTATGCACCGCCTGCCTGACTCACTGAGCCTGTGAAAGGAGAGCCAGGCTGCAAAATTTTCTCTACTGATAATAAATACATACCATCCACAGGGAGAAGAACAGCTCCCAAATCCAAGTAGTGATTTAAATTTTAATATTCTACATAAAAACCTACACTGCTACACTGGGAAATAAGACAGTTGACTCTATTCCAAATTTTACTCTTGTTTTAATGTCTAAAATACTGGGTATGACACAAATTGTACTATAAAATATTTATCTGAAATATGATTTATGGAAGTATTCTGTTAATACTATATATAAATATTAAAAATATTTTTTTTCAAAAACAGACAGTAATAACCCTCTAAAAGTATACATCCTGATAGAATTTCCCATATTGAGGAACTTAATTATTTTTTAACAAACCTCAGAATCTGAAGTTTGTAGAACCTGAATGCAGAAATTTCCAGAAATCAGACAATAAGTTGTTTAAACATCATGAGTATTAAATACTTTTTTAAAAATTTTAGTTGCATTATTTCTAATGACTTTCTCTGGGTAATTTCTGATAAAAAAAGATTTTCAGTGTGTTTTTGTATGTACATTTGCACACATCATCATTAATAGAGGTAATCTTTAGCCATTTTAAAGACAGAAAAAAAAATGGATGTTCTCAAGTTCAATGTATGAAGCAAATTGAGTCCACAACTTTTAGACTGGAGCTATGTTGGAGTTCTGAGACATAGAATCAATTCACCTGCAGAAAAAACACTTTTGAGTTCACACTATTAGTGAACAGCACCAAGCTGAAACATTTCCCAGCTTTCTACTCCGGGAGATAATGGAGTTTAAAAACGTAAAACTTCAGTTCGGTTGGGAGCTGAACTTGCTTACTTGAAAACCGTGGTGCTCCGCACAGGGATCTGCCTCTCCTCTAACACCGCGCCAGCCCTGCCCTCTCCCAGTCGGACCCAGCCTAACATTCCAATTTTGTCTTTTGTTCTCTAAATCATTTGAAAGTTGTCCACTGAGAGAAACACTGCTAGGGGAGTTTTTGGCATTGACCATAAAAAGCCCTCCAAATAGGATTCTGGGATTCTCTTCTAGTTTTGGTTGTTGTTTGTTTTTATTCTCATATAAACACAGCTTGCACTATTATTTACTTTTTCTGTAACACAAATACTATGTAGGTGTCGTAGTTTATTTATTTGAAATGCCTGACAAAGAGTGATGCAGAGCTCATTCTTTTTGGTTCAGTTTCATTTGGAAAAGTGATTGTAACTTTTATTTCCTCCCCCATCCTGAGTTTTCTTTGGATAGCATCACATTTCCCTATTTTTAATCCCCAGGAATACTACTGCACAAAGTCAGTCTTGAAATACTAAAACATGAATAGAAATTGATAAACCCTCCTCGAGAGAAAATTATAATACAGATCATCCCTCTTCAATGACTCTGTACAAACTTTTCTTCAGTTTTCTCCGTCGGACATACACTTTGGAGAATCATGGCCACTCATATTGGAGAGAAACACTCTTTTGTTATGTTATCTCTTATTTTCTTATTCTTAGTTGTTCTGTGCTTCAACTGTTGAAAGTAAACCATGCTATTTGCTGGTGTAATCTGTTTACTGCCTCCTCCTGTTGTGTTTTGAATGTCACATGTTTGTATTTTATATAGTGTTTTAGATATTCAACTTTTTCCTCCTACCGTCAGACAGGGAATTATGTAGCTGTGCATCTTCTGATTTTGTCATTTTTTTTCTTTTAATTGTTTTTGCTTTAAAATCCTATAACCACCAGGTTATTATTAGGTTTTCTAATATGTCTCCCTATTTTTGTATATAAATGGCCCCAGAAAATGTTTGGTTCAACATTTTAGGCAATAAATAACTTATTTTTTAATTTATGCTGATAATTATGATGCTTCAGTGCAATTAGCAAGTGTTAGCCAGTTATACATAGACGTTGTATTGTGTTTTCAAATACTTTGTAAGTGTGTGGTAAGAAAATCTCCCTGGTTTTTTGATGGTGTGGTGGTGGCGATGGTGGCTTTGTTTTTTGGGGAGAGTAATGTGCAACAGCCTGGCTTTGTTTTCGTTCTTCCACTAGAACTGGAAAGCTCCTGGTGGGCACTTTGTCTCAGAGCAGGACGGGAGAGAGCAGGCTGCCTCTTTGAAAGGGCCCTTGGTCTCTGTGCTGTGGTTAGCTTGCTCTGCCCCTTCCTGTTTGGATAGAAGACTCAGTTTTATTTCTGACTTGAACACCATAGCAGCTGCGTACCAGCTTACCTTAATATCCTCAGTATTGATGTCTTACCTGTCCGTATTGCCTTCTTGCTCTGGCCTCAAAGTAAGCAATTTTGCTGAATTTATTATTTTAGTGCACAGATGAACATAGGAATTTCTATCTGTTATTCCAAAGTCTGTTTGCATATGCTTGTGCCCTGAGACAGTAACAGACTCTTTTGATAAAGTTACTGCTGCCTGTCCATAACTGCTGTTTATTTGGGTGGCTCCCTCTTTCTGTATTTAAATTTTTTTACTCAAGTGTAATACTATTATAAAAATGATTGGAGCAACTGATGGACTTTTCTGTAAGTGAAATTCTCTAGTTTTGCTTGTTTATCTCACAGTGAAGGTGCTGAAGATGAGAAACGTGCCTTTGGTTTCATAGGCCGGCTTGGGCCAGGGTACGCTGGCAGGGTCTAGTGACCCCCCAGGAATGGGCAAGCCCATTCATAAGCCATCATCTTTCATAGTGAGCCATCCCAGAACACATCACCAGCTGCACCTGCAGGGTGATTCTTCCCATTTATCTACCAGACTGTGCCCTAAAGCATTTATTCCAATTCCTGCCTTCTTTCATACTCAATATTTAAATAAATGATAATATTGATATAGGCAGTGCTATTAAAAGACCAAGCCTCTAATGTAATAAAACCATTTTCAGATCTATTGATAATAGTACAATATAACATTCGAAGTGCATTATACCCTTTAAGCAATTTTCCAAAATTTGAAATAGATCCCTTTTTTCTCATAATATATACAATCTTAACTTATTAAAATTAGCAAGAATTTCACATTTTAAAAGTCTGGCCCAAACCTGTTACCATCAAGGAAATGCACCCTCACGGAGGATGAAGGAGACCATGCGGCCTCCCATCTTCTAATTCACATCCCACACTGGGCCTTTCTCAGATGAATGAATGACCTGAAATTTGGCCCAGGTAACTATACGGATCATTTTGCCTATCAAATGAGAGGACCATCTGAATATTAACTTGACATTTTTATATGGTACTTTACCTCTAAAAAAGCATGACTTTAATAGTTACAGGTTTATAAATATATAACAAAAATTTCAGTTTTCAAGCATAACAAATTGACTTTCGAGGTTATATAAGTTTTCTATCTCCTTAAATCTCCTTCTCTCCCCCAATGAATTTCTCACCGTCCATCAAGACCCAGCTTCCGTTTTTTGTACTTTACCTTTCCTGTCATAGGTATGAAGTGACCGGAATTTTCTTTTGAGACAAAGGGAAATACCAAAATTTCAGCAAACTGAATGGGAAAAGGAGGTTAGATCATAAGAGTTGGTTTGAATCATTAAATGGACATTTGAGCACCTTGTCATTACAGAACACTTCATTGCCATCACTCCTCCTCCAGTCTAATGGAGAGGCAGATCTCAGGCTGTTGGGGAGGAGCTGCCGTCTCCGAGGCTAGCTGGAGTTGGCCACAGACACCAGGTTGATGCCCAGAGGTTTGAGGTTAGGGTCTCCCTTCCACAGGCATTGTTTCCTCCTCCGTTCTTAAGCCATGGTTTACAGAGATGCAGCAGTGCAACATCAGGAAAGAGGCTATTAATTTTAGAATGTGGAGTCGTAACATGATTTCATGTTCTTCATTCTTCTTTTGAGCATTCTTACTCAAGTAACCTAAAGGTAAGATAGATATGAGCCCGTCCATGTTTGCTAAGTAAAATACTACTGGGACTCATAATTTGTTGAAATTTAATAAAAATTATTTCCAAGACTGAGAATCCTGGAGTAATGAGGCAATTAAATTAACCAGATCATCTTAAAAGATATAGCCCTTCAACACCAAAATTACTGATTTTTCCCCGCATCTGTCCTGCCATCTTGTCTTCAGTGACTCGTTCTTGCGTTGGTGTGGTGATTAAAGCCCCGGTTACCACCAGCACCTGCAGTCACCTAAGTTCCTTTTTCTCTAGAAACAATAACAAAACTGCTCCATTGCTAGTGTGTCTCCTAACTTGATGCTGGTAAGAGCAGCGAGCAGAGGTATTTAAGATACAAGCACATCAAATGCCACATAAAACATTGAGCCGTAGAATTGTTGAAAATACTGGTGTCCTTTACCCTAGCTGTCTGGGAAGTGGTAATACTCTTCTTACCATGTTGTCGCTGTGTTAAGGATTTTTGGATTTTTCTCCTTGTTATCACCTTAAAATCCACTTAGAAACCACACAAGCAGTCTTCCGGCTTTATAATCCTATACAGGTTGACATGCAAAAATAGCACTGCCTCACTGGGTGTCTTAATTTCTAAGCCAGTTTCACTCTACTGATTCTGGACTTTTCCTTCCCTAATCTCCACGCATTCCAACTCAAGGGCAAATTACACATGTTCATTTCTCAGAAATGCAACAAGAGCTAATGTAGTCTTTTTAAGCTAGAAAATACTGCCGGCTGTTTCTCTGGACTGTGATGTGGAGTGATAATTATTCTTGTTATGCTTCCTTTTTTCCTTTAGCCTTAGCCCCTTAAACTCCAAAACTGAACCTGTAGTGATCAGAAAGCTGAGAGAACCTCACATTTGAACAGGAGAAGAGAGGATACCTAAGCGAGATGTGTGCTGGGCACCACGAGGGTGAGTTTCAGACCTCGTGTGCATCTTTGGGCCAGCAGCTTTTCAGGAACGATCAGGGGCTGAGAGCATGGAGCTTGTCTTCCGCTGCTGTGCCTGTCCCAACCCACACCCCAGTTAGAGCTCAAATTAGAAAACCCTCTGCCTCCAGGGATCCTTCAGCCTTCCCATGATAGCTGTGTGCACGAGCAGGGGTAGGAACGCAGCCCCTGCAGAGTTGCGAGTGTTTCCGAGGATAAAGCTTCGTCCCAGATCACATTCACGTCGGAGGTCTGGGCCACTCGGTTCACTGTCCTGCATCGTGTTCACTCTTTCATCAGTGAGACATGCTAACTTCTGGCACGGGCTCTGATCCACCACCAGTGTCGGCAAATGTGACTCCTCAGACGGACACAGGACAGGATATGATCCGGTCCTCTAACATCACGCTGATGATCAGGAACACGAAGTAAAGGAGGAACATCGTGAAGCCCAGGATCTTGTTCATTCTCCACTTGCACGATGCGATGGAGGAGATCACAAACAGCAGCATGAGAAAAAGCAAAACAATCGCACAGAATAAGCCATTGCTGCTGACGGGAACAGGCTGCAATCCGTTGATGAGAGAGAAAAGCAGCCAAGGAACAGGCAAGCTGCAAGATTGAAAAAACACTGTGAATATTCCTCATGTTTGTAACTATCCCATATACATAGTTAGTAATTTATCATTTGCAAAAACATGTATTTCTCGGCCGGCGCCGCGGCTCACTAGGCTAATCCTCCGCCTAGCGGCGCCGGCACACCGGGTTCTAGTCCCGGTTGGGGCGCCGGATTCTGTCCCGGTTGCCCCTCTTCCAGGCCAGCTCTCTGCTGTGGCCAGGGAGTGCAGTGGAGGATGGCCCAGGTGCTTGGGCCCTGCACCCCATGGGAGACCAGGAAAAGCACCTGGATCCTGGCTCCTGCCATCGGATCAGCACGGTGCGCCGGCTGCAGCGGCGGCCATTGGAGGGTGAACCAACGGCAAAAGGAAGACCTTTCTCTCTGTCTCTCTCTCTCACTGTCCACTCTGCCTGTCAAAAAAAAAAAAAAAAAAAAAAAACAAAAGAAAAAAAAACAAAAACAAAAAACATGTATTTCTCTACCAGCGAGGTGGGGGAAAAAGCAGTGAAGTAGAACAGAAATTTTCCCCATTTCAGGGATGAGGAAACCAAGGTTCATGGAACTCGAATTACTTGCCCAGAGACACAGCTGGCACCTGGAGAGCCGAGAGTCACCTGAATTGTTCTGGGTTTGAGCTTTGCTTTTCTTGCATGTTTAATGATTTCCATATGACTAACCCAGGTCAGTGGATCCATGACTTTAATGTCTGTTTTCATAAGGCTACCCCGGGATAAGGTTTCCTTAAATTCCTCAGTGACCAGGGCCCTCCAAGCCTTTCCCCTGCCCTGTACACACACACACACACACAAATTCAAATTAAGGCAAACAAATCCAGGGCATGACTGGGGAAGTAAGAACAGCCAGGTGCTCTGCCCTGACACGCACACCTGGAAGGCTGGGGGGAGGTGGGGCCCGGAAGGTGTGCGTTGGCCTGGACGAGAATTTTCTTTTCTAAGCCTCTGCACTAGCAGGGCAAACACAAAGGAGCAGGAGTATCAAGAAGTGAAATCAAGCCTGGCTCCTTCAGCCCAGCCTCCATCACGCTGAAGCTCTGTGGTTGTATTTGGTAACGGAATGGAAGGAACTTGACTTTTCAATTCATCTGTAAGTTCTTGTGAGGTTTCAGGCTGCACTTCACTTCTGTTATCCCATGGGGCTGTGACGGGAGGCCACTTCGTTGCCTTGCAGAAGCTAACAATAGGAAAACCCTTTTGTTCGGTGTATAACGAGAAAAACCAGTGAACAGAGCCAACGCGGTATGTTTTTCCAGTCACACTTAACATGCCTTGGAAAGTAATATGCCACTCACCCCACGGTGATATCAAATATGTTACTGCCCACAGAGCTTGACACAGCCATGTCTCCCAGGCCTTTCCGAGCGACGATCACGCTGGTGATGAGGTCGGGAATGGACGTGCCTGCGGCCAGGATTGTCAAGCCCATGATCTCCTCAGAGATCCCTATTGTTTCACCAACCTAGTAAAAGCAGGAGTGAGAAGCCATGACAGCAGCAGGTGAAACCCCGAGACATTTTCACAGCCCCAACCACAACCACCTTGTGCGAACTAAACACCTTCCAGGGAGCTCAGTCCTGGCTAATGAGGCAGTGGGTCGGCCACAAGGAGAGGCTCTAAATGCTTCCATGCTAGCAGATGGGCTGTCGCTGTCATTGCAACTCTGACACCTCTGCCTTCCTCTAAAGAACAGCTCTCGTGCTCGTGTCAACATTTGCATTGTCAAACACGGACGCTGCCAGGTCTCGGGGCCTAAGCACAGCACCAGCCCTGCCCGCGGCCTGCTGAGAGAGGAGCTTGTCGCCCCCAGTCCCAGCTCCGCCCACTTCAGGCAGAGCACAAGGGCCATGGATGCCAGGGAGCGGGCAGAGGCGAGTGCAGGCTCTCAAGGCTAGGGAAAGGTTGGAGGACTTAGCAGAGAAAGCAGGGTGTGAGGCCGAGGGGCAGCTGGAATCCAGATGTGAAGGGCTTTCTGGGTCACACGAGGCAGCGTGACTGCTCTGTAAGGTGGAAAAGCCACTGCATTCTCTGGGACTGAAAGTCTCCTAAGTCTGTACCAACTACACAGAAACTGCACATGTCCCCTTGGTCCTGGGTGCTCCCTGGGTGCCGGGAACTCCTCCTCAAGGGAAACCGTGTCCACGGGATTCTGCTGCTGCGGGCACTCACCTGGTGAGCCCACCACACCATGAGGTATGAGAACATGGCTATCCATATGATGGATCCCAGGAAGGTGATGACGAAGAACTTCCTAGACTCCTGTTGGAAGAGAAATAAGTGGCAGAAGCTGAAGGCCTCTGGCCCTTCTGAGGGAGCCCCAGAGTCCGTGACAAGTCCAGGTGGAAGTGATGGGGAGGTCTGAGACTTCCGAGCCAAGGCTGTGGAGATGGGTGGGAAGAGAAGGGTTGGAAAGTGGGAGGGCTGCTAAGGGGTGCTTGGCGTCACCAAACAGGAGAGCTATTTGCTTGCCCCAGAGCCAGCCCCATCTAGACACTGGGTTTGGCATTTGCAAACTGCCCTGCCTCTCTGTGGACCCAGAGACAGAACATGGACCACCCTGGATAGAGTACATCAGACCATTCCCTGTGAACAGGAATGGTGGGGAGCAGCAGTTAGCACCCTGGTTTTCAGAACACCCTGTGGAATACGGAGGAGGTGCCGTGGTGTCACTCCCGGTGACAGGAAGCGCGGATGGGAGTGAAGGGAGAGGAGTCCACCCTGCTTGCAGTGTACTTCTGCAAGGCACAGGGAAGTCGGAGCCGGCGCCCAGCCATCAGTGTGGGCTCCGCTGGGCTCAGGGGCCCTCCAGGTGTGCGGACTCATGCCAGATCCCAGTGGGGGGACCCGGCCTAGCTGCTGCCTTCCCTCCCCCTCCGCCTTGCTGGGTGTCTAGACACCACACAGCCCGAGGTGCAGCTGGACACACTCGCCTGCCTCCGGACGTCCGGCACCGTCAGCCACAGCGGGAACACGATGGGCAAGAGGAAGAGGTAAATGGCCTGCTTCTGCCTGGTCTCAGGCCAGTCCAGGGACAGAGGTTCCTCATTTCCATCCTCCTCTTCCTCCTCCTCTTCCTCTTCTTCCTCCTCTTCCTCCTCCTCCTCCTCTTCACTGTCACCTCCATCACCTCCTTCACCGTCTGTACCTTTCTCATCACTTTTGGCTTCGCCCTGGTGTCCGGCATTGGCTTCCTGGCATCCGGTCTCCCCCTCGTCACCATCTCGGGCTTGCACTTCCTCTTCGCCATCACCTTCGCTGGGCTCTGTGCTTCCTGCCTGGGCTTCACCTTCTCCTGCACCTTCACCTCCGAGTCCGTCTCCTCCGCCTGCCTCCGTGCCACCTTCGTCGTCTGTCTGAGCTTCACCTTCACCTCCACCTCCGGGTCCTTCTCCTCCGCCTGCCTCCGTGCCACCTCCGCACGCGCTGCCTCCTGCCTGAGTCCCGCCTTCGCCGTCCGCCTGAGCTTCACCTCCACTCTTCTCTCCGGTCTCCCCTTCCCCAGGAGCTGCGCCCTCTTCCCCTGCTGTTTCGCCTGCGTTCTCAGCTTGTGCCACGTCATCCTGCAAGGCAAAGCCAACACGTTACTGTGCAAGAATGGCCCCGCCTGCCCTCCTTCGCCGCTTCTCCCATCTTCCGGTCGCTGTTCTCAGTGTCTGAAAACTTCAGTTTGAGGAGAAAACTCGTGCAATTATGTAGCGACATTCCCACCAGGACACTTGCACCCAATGGAGCCCTCGCCACCCAAAGCAGCTTCTGTCATCTTTGACAGCTCCAGATTTCTGCCGGTTCCCCCCTTGACGTCTAGGTTTTGTCTTTAAAGCTGCGTCGGATGAGCCCTCTTCCCCAGAGTCTAGGCTCCAGGATCCTGCCGTCACTGCCCCGCGCTGTGCGCCGCAGGCCTCTCCCCGTTGTAGTGAATTCCTCCTTACTAGCTGTGTTCCATGAGGAAGCCTCCAAAACTGAACACAGACTTGCAGAGTGGAACAGGACTGCCTCTCCACACTTTGCTTCCGTTCGTGTCACCTGCTATGGCATCCTAATCGTTTGCTGGTCATAACGTTGCTGAGTCTACCCACACTCCTAAAGTGTGCGTTCCTTTATATGCGTAGAATAAGGGTGATGCTTGTGGGCTTTTCTGTGCCAGGCACCGTGCTAAGTGGTTCCATAATAACAGCTAGTATTTACTATGTTTCATGAGTCAACAATGATTAAGAAAGAAGTATGCCCATCTTACAGACGGAGAAACTAGGATAATGAGAAGTTACATATTGTGCCCATGGTCCACACAGTATGGAAGTGATGAAGCTGGGATTTGAACACAGGCCAGCTCTCAGCCTTTTAGCCACAAGCTTCCCCGCTTTACAAATGCCAGGCCTGAAATACATCTCTGGGTCCTAGACCTGGTAGCCTGGGTAGATTATTAGAAATAAGGACTTCCTGATTGAATTCCAATCTCTGGAATTGCAGGCCCGGGATCTGTATTTTAACAAGCTCCCAAGTGCAGACCAGTGTTTGGGACTGTCCCCATGCACACACTAAAGTCACTAAAGGCCCCCAGATTAGGCACCCATACTGGTCTAGTTCCTTGGGCAACTGACACTGGGCTGTGTGCTCATGGAGTACATATGTCACCTGTGGCAAGTGTCATGATACTGGCAACCCCTGCAGGGTGTTTGGCAATTCTCAGCTCCACTGTCTATCCATATTAAAATCAATGGGGGGGGGCACTGTGGCAAAGCGGGTAAAGCTGCTGCTTGCAGCACCGGCATCCCACATAGGCACTAGTTCAAGACCCAGCTGCTCCACTCCCGATCCAGCTCTCTGCTATGGTCTGGGAAAGCAGTAGAGGATAGCCCAAGTCCTTGGATCCCTTCTGGGAGACCCAGAAAAAGCTCCTGGCTCCAAGCTTTGGATCAGCCCAGGTCTGGCTGTTGCAGCCATTTGGGAGTGAATCAGCAGACGGAAGATTTCTAACTCTGCCTTTCAAATAAATAAATAAATAAATCTTTTTAAAAAAAATCAATGAGGGGCTTTGAAAACTATTGATGCCTAAGGACCCACCCCAGATATTTTTATTTAAGTGGTAGAGAGCTAGGCCTAGAGTTGTTTTTTTTTTTTTTTTTTTAAGTTTCTCCAAATTACTGAAATATGCAGCTTAAGATCGGGAACCACTGGTGAAGAAATCTAATAGTATCTGATGGAGGGGCCGGTGCTGTGGCGTAGCTGGCAAAGCCACCGCCTGCAGTGCCAGCATCCCACATGGGCACCAGTTCAAGACCCGGCTGCTCCACTTCTGATCTAGCTCTCCGCTGTGGCCTGAGAAAGCAGTAGAGGATGGCCCAAGTCCTTGGGCCCCTGCACCCATGTGGGAGACTCGGAAGAAGCTCCTGGCTCCTGGCTTCAGATCGGGGCAGCTCTGGCCATTGCAGCCAGCTGGGGAGTAAACCAGCGGATGGAAAACCTCTCTATCTCTCTCTCTCTACCTCTCTGCCTCTCTGCCTCTTCTCTCTGTGTGTAACTCTTTCAAATAAATAAATAAATAAATCTTTAAAAAAAAAAAAAACAGTATCTGGTGGAGCTGTGCTTTGAGCTGGGAATGCAGAGAGAGGATTCTAGTTCAAACCCATCCTGCCCTCCCTGCTCACTGAGGGGAAGAAGGCTCCAGATCGGATGCCAAGTTGTTTACATGGACAGGTCTGGGAGCGTCTGCCCAGCCTGCGGTCTCTTCTCTGAGGACTGTCACCCTAACAGTTGCAGCTGAACAGGTGGCTCCCCACTTCCACGATGGAGTCAAAGCACCCCACTGTGCCCGGGCCACAGCTGCTTAGACACAAGCTGGCCCCCTGACCTGAAGACCAGGAAGCAGTAACTGGCTGAGGCCCCTGTGAACTGCAGAACCGAAGTGGTTTAGGGCTGTGTGCTAATGAGGAAAACAAATGAAGCCAGGGTGGGGAGGAGGAGCCACTGGGGTCCCAGATGCCTTCTCGGGCCTGGACAAAGCTTCACCTCCTGTGCCAGGGTCCAGGATGGCTCTCTGTATCCTCTGAGTCCCTTGTCATGGAGCTGGCTGCCATGAGCCTCCTGAGTGTACTCCCGGCACCACACAGATACCCAGAGTTGCGGACTTAAGACTGAGCTACACTGCCGTTCTGCTGGGCATGGAATAAGAAAAACAAGCAGGGTACCAATGCCATCTTACTAGTCAAAGTGATCAGTTTTGGTTCATAATTGATCTAATGATGTGATTAAGTGTCAAAAGGATCACATAAACAAGTCAAGTGTCTGCTAATAATAACTGATAGAATTAAAAAGGAGAGAATGATCCAACATGGGAAGCAGGATACACAGCAGATTCATAGAATGGCAAATGCCCTAAACAGCACTCTGGCCTCAGAATCAGCCCTTAAGGCATTCAGGTCTGGTTAAAAGCCCATGAGAGCATTTCAGGCATGGAAAGCCAAGACACTGTGGCAAAAAAAAAAAAAAAAAAACAACAACAACAACAACTACATGAAAGATCTCTGTGAGTGAGATCCTGGTGGAAAGAAGGGGCCATCGAAGAAGGAGGTACCTTTCTCTGAAGGGAGGAGAGAACTTCCACTTTGAATATGGCCTTGTCTAAATAAGGTCAGAGTTTGTGGACTCAAGAGGCTTCCATAGCCTTGGCAGCTCATGACAAGAGCCTTGGGTGATTACTGACGTCATAAATAAGAGTGTCAGTTGTTAAATCAACAACGGGAGTTACTGTGTACTTGCTCCCCATGTAGGATATCTGTCCTTAATGTGTTGTACTATGTGAATTAACGATAAAACTACTACTCAAATAGTACTCTATACTTTGTGTATCTGCGTGGATGCAAACTGTTGAAATCTTTACTTAGTATATACCAACTTGATCTTCTGTATATAAAGATAATTGAAAATGAATCTTGATGAAGAATGGGATAGGAGAGGGAGTAGGAGATGGGATGGTTGTGGGTGGGAGGGAGGTTATGGGGGGGAAGCCGCTATAATCCGAAAGTTGTATTTTCAAAATTTATATTTATTAAATAAAAGTTTAAAGAAAAAAGAAAAATATGGTAGAGAAAAACAAACAAACAAACAAGCAGGGACAGGGCCTGAAAAGTGGCTCTGTGTCCACTCTCTGCCACACAGCCCGTAGGGTGCAGCCATGTGGCAGGCATTACGCTTCCCTCCACAGGCAAGAGAGGACTAGGGCTTAGAGCCCGCCCTCAGGCGTCCCACTAAGGAGGCTAAGACAAGGCAGGTCATGGTGAGAACCCAGAGCAAAGCAGCTTGGGCATTCAGTTGTGGGGGGTGGAGCTTCCGGGTCAAGGGGCGTTTATGCTGGCCTGAAGGGGTCCAGGCTCTCTGAAAGGCATTCCAGGGAGCCAAGGCCTGCGGGGTCGGCGGGCATGGAGATGAGAGATCCCGTCCGGCCTGAGCACGGTGGACAAAGAGGGCTTGAGGCCATGAAGACAGAGCAGGGTCCAGACTGAAGGCCCCTCAGACGAGGAGGAGGAGCCTGCACACGTGCAGCAGCAAGCAATGACGTGCCCGGAAGGTGCGGCAGCCTCCACCCAGCAACGGCCCGCTGCGCTGCCGGCCTCTCTGGCCCCTAGCCGCCGACAGACCCAACAATACTCCTGTGTTCTTAGAGCACATGACAGCTCACCCCACCACAGTGCCACAGTGAACGGACTGGCAGCGCTCACCGCGGAGGGCTGAGCCTCAGATCCTCGGGGAGGAAGGGGCTGGGGCCAGCGAGTCACTCCCTGAGTCTCGAAGTCCTCCACCTGTGCAGAGGCTGGGTGCCTACCTGGCTGCCAGGCTCCTCTTCCTCCTGTCCCTGGACCTCCAGAGGCGGGGCTGGTGTGACTGTGACCGCAGGGAGCTCGGCTGGCTCCTCCTCTTTAAAGGAAAACGCGTGTTAGGTCAGAAGAGAGGACCGGGTTCTGTGTGAGTGACTGCGGGGCTGCTGGGCTTCAGGGTCTCAGAGGACTGGGGGGCGGATTGCGTCTGCAGGAAAAGCAAGATGTGACGTGCGTGGTGATTGGCCTGCTACCGCGATCACTGCGGGTGACAGGGCGGGTGGGCAGGGGCTGTGTTTGCTCCCTGTATTCACAGACGTTTGCATCGTGGCCCTTGTGGCCGTGGCTCCCCTGAGCAGCTTGAGCGATGGAGCAGGGAGCGGGCCGGGCTCCCAGCACTCGGGGTGGGGCTTTTGGGGAGGATCCTGCTGGCTTCAAAGGCAGCAGCCACAAAGCCTGGGAACAGGCCTGAGGCAAGGAGGCTTGGAGAGTGGAGAGCTGCTGGGCGCAGTGCTCTCACTTCCTGGCTCTGGGGCCTGGGCAAGTCCTTGGGCCTCTCGGAGCCTCTGGGGAGCATGCTGGACCTCGCAGGTGGCCTGGACAGCCTGGTGCCCTTACAGAGCTCACGTGGCAGCCGCAATCCTCCCACTCCCCCAGTCCCGGCTGCTACCCAGGTACTAGACTTCTGTGTCGCAGCCCTGGCGGCCGACCCTGGCTGAGCAGGGCCTGTCCTCGGAGCAGTCAGCAGCAACATGGGCCTGGGGAGGAGTGACAGCAGCAACATGGGCCTGGGGAGGAGTGACAGGAAGAGGAAACAGAGTCCAGCGGAGTCTCCTTAGGGATGGGACGCAGCGAAAACACGGTGGGCGCCCCGCCTGCCCTATGTGAGCAAAGTGCAGAGGGAGCTGCAGGGGGCGCTCTCGGGAGGAGGAGGCCCCGGGGGAGGTGGCCTGGGGAGCAGCATCCGTCTTCCCTCCAACCAACTGGCTCAGGAGGGGGAGGCAGGCGGCAGGAGGAAACGCACCGCGTGGCCATCCTCTCACCTTCGGGTTTGCTCTCTGCTTTGGCCTGGGGTGGGGCCCGGGCCTCCTGATTCAAGCTCTCCTCCTTCTCCTTGGAGAGGCGGGCTGCGGAGGAGAAAGGAAACACATCTTACCTGGGACCATGATACCATCCCTGCCAGGACGCTCAGCGGAGCAGCCAGAGCGACACACGTGGGTGAGCACGTGGGAGTCACCATGTCTGGCTTCTGATCCTCCCAGGGCTGTGGAGCCAGGGTGCCCGATTCCCAGACTTGACCCTTAGACTCCCTGCACTGTCATTAACAGGCTGTGACCGTGAGCAAGTCACTCGCCGTCTCTGGCAAACTGGCATGGTTGGACTCAGGAGCAACAAATGTGATTTCTGTCCTTTATGAGCGCGAGTGATGGCTGCTTCCGTGCCGAACTGACAAGATTCTGACCCAAGCTTGGAAGGATGTGACAAGCAGCAGCACTGGTCAGCGGAGTCTGCGGTGGGCTATTCTGGCCGCCCTCCAACGAGCTGATCCGCAAAGTCCTGTGTAACGTAGCTGTCCGTGAATCTGCCTGCAGCTCTGCTCCAGGGGCCTGCTGGTGACCGTGTTTGTGAGCCTACCCTCACAGGCTGTTCCCCAGCAAACCCTCAGTCCTATCCTCTCTGACCCCAGGAACCTGCAGCCCAGGAGGGGCTGACCCTGAGCCCTGAGCCCTGAGCCCTGAGCCCTGAGCCACAGAGCGGAGCACGCACAGACAGGGCTGCCTGGGTCTCCAGGCAAGAAGAATGGGGAGGGCCACTCTCTCAGCCAGGCCACATGCCCAGGGCTTTCTGTCTGTCGTTGCAAAGAAGGAGAGAGAGGAGAGACAGAGATGCGGGGACGTAGCGTCCTCACAGCTGCACAGCCCGGGGAAGGGGGCAGCAGCTCGACTGAAAGAACCAAGTGCCGCCACGGGATCGATGCCGGCTTCCAGGCCGCTCTGCCCCGCGAGCACTGGGCGACTCCGGGAAGCCCGCGTGCCCCCTGACCTCAGTGTCTCTTCTCGAGAAAGGCGACACCGTGACATGCAGCACTCCCGTGAGAGTCCATTAGACAAGATGTTCGCAGGGGCTCAGGCAGCTGCCAAGGGCTGCCCCCATCTTGTGTCAGCATGGAGTCTCCTGCCTTTGAATCCTTGTCCCTCGCCGCAGAGCGTGGACCTTGCTGCAGGGCCCTTAGCTTCTCTGTACGCAGGTTCGTCACCTGTAGATTCTTCCGCAGTTGTCAGCAGAGCAAATTCATGAATGCGCTTAAACCAGTGCCGGCAGCAAACAGTCAATGCACGTTTTCGCCAGAACGGCCACAGCCACCATGATGCTTGCTGGTCAGTTAACATCAGCGGCCGAGAGCGGCTGCCCTACCCGGGAAGGTCCCTTGTTCCCTTGCACCTGCGTCAGAAGGTCTCCCCCCGCCCCCAGGCCCTTACACAGACGGCAGAGAGGAACCTGAGAAGGTGCAATCGGGCAGCTGGGTAGCGAAGCAGGAAACAAACAGGCCTGGAGTCCCCCTTGCCCCGTCTCCCAAGCCCTTGCCGGCAGCCTGCACCCAGCAGAGCCACCCAGCGCACGGGCTGCCTCCTTCACCCCCAGCACCCTGCACCCGTGCCCTTCACGGAGCGCTGCAGTCCTGCTGAGCACCACGGAGCTGGGGCTCCCCAGGCTCCAGGCCCGGCGCCGAGGGATTCTGTCGGCACTGGGCTGCGGGGTGCTGGTGAGAAAACCAAGCTTCCCTCACACCCTCACCACACAGCCGCTGAGGAGGGCGGGCCAGCTGTGGGTCCCCCGTCCCCCACTCTCTCACACACACCCGAGGTGGGGGCCCTGGAAAGGAAACGCCCTTCCCAGGGCAGGGGAGAGCTCCGGGCACAGGCAACGACTCTACTGCGCGAGGAGGAATCCCTGGGCAGCCTTGCGGAACGGCGTGGAACACAGCGTGGAACACAGCGTGGGAACAAAGGGTCTCCCTGAAGCTCCTCCCGGATGGAGTCTCGGGTGGAAAGTCAGGGCGCTCTCTGAGCCGGACCGCACCCCAGGGCACACCTGCAGGCTGCCACCACGAGGGCCACCTCGGCCCCCCTCGGCTCCCCTCCACCCCACCGCACCCCCGTGCACTGGGCTTCCCTGGGGTGACCGCCCGCGGCGTCCCCAGTGCTGGTTCCCTCGTGTGGCCTTTCCCCTCTCCCTCTCTCTCTGCAGCCGGATCATCTCCTTAGCATCAATCTCCTCTGACCTCGCCCGGCCTGCACATCACATAATCCTGTTAGGACAAGTAGGCCAGCGGGCGGCTGCTGGGGCTCTGGGCTTTCTCCTCAGGGCTCGGCTGGCACCGTGACTCCTCTGCAAGTGGCCAAGCTGCCGCCACCAGGCGCAGGCCGGGCGCGCCCACCCCTGCCGGCCAGGAGCCACCCGGTGCTGCGGCCTGTGCTCTGTGACCACCGAGGGTCTCTTTCTGGAGCCCACACTCAGGGCATTGAGGAATTTCCGGAACCACCCCCCACCCCTGTACAATATGCGAGCGCTGGTTTTAAACACCTGGTGGCCCAGGCTGCCTCTGAGGCCCCTACATTGGTGCCAACCGGAAGGTCAGCCAGGGTCCTCCTGTGGCTCGTGGGCCCTCCTGCCCAGGCTCTCCTGAGGGGCCTTGTGCCTGGGCCCCAGCGAGGCGGGGCCCAAGGAGAGCAGGAGGCCGGCAGAGGCCTCAGATGCCCGCTGGGGTGGCTCTTGGCAGGGTGGGGGGCGAGTCGCGAGCGCTGCTGTCATCTGCCAAGGGGGACATCAGCCCCTGGTGCGCGGGAGACCTTGACCTTTTCTTCACCACCCCCACAAGTGTCCTGGCAGCTCCCAGAGTTCTTGGCTGGGGGAGGGGAATTCCTAGGATCCCCCCTTCCTAGCCGAATGTGGAGCAAAAGGAAGGACCACTCGGTGCCTCTGGGGGCAGCGCCCCTAGAAGCAGCCCTGGCCAGTCAGCACCCCTCCCTGGCTGGAGTCTCTGCGGGACACGGGGGCCGACTCGTGGGCAGGCAACTTCGCAGGGAACTCTGAGGACAGCCCCACACCCAGGCTCCCGGGCATGCGGCACTCGTGGCCGACCTGCAGCTGAGCCCCTTCACTCGCAGGGAGGGGTGCCGAGGCAGGGAAGTCATGGGGTGCGGGTACCTGCCCACTTCAGCTTCCATATTCCAGGTATCCTGCTCTCGGGGAGTGCCCCGGGCCCCATCTCGCGGACTGCCTGGCTTTTACCACCCACCCTTGGCTCTGCTAACTCTCTCTTCCCACCACCAACCTGCTGCATTGCAGCTCTGCAGGGAGAAGGAGTGGACGGGGCAGAGCACGTGGGTCGGGGCGGCCTTGCTTACCTTCCCCCATGGGGTCCAGGCTGTGGATCATGAGCTGGTAGATGGTGCTGCGGATCGTGCTGTTGTGCAGGGAAGCCGAGCTGCTCCCTCGGGTCAGCATGGACGGGAGCTGGGCAAGGGGAAAGCCGCAGGCCTCAGTGGGTCCCTGCCCGAGCCCGGGGAGGAGCCGCACAAGGGCCTCCCTGCCCTTGCCTCTTTCCCATAGAGATCATGGAGAACCTCCCCTCTTCCTTTGCCTCCAGCCAGGAGAGTCCCCCTGTGTGCTCAGCGGTCCCCAAAGTCTCCACAAGGAGCCAGCAGACCACGTGCACCAGGGACTGCACGCTGGCCAGGGTGTGCACCTCCTCCAAGTGCGCCTCACACCACACAGACCCACTGCACGTGACCAGCCCCAGAGGGCCCTGCCCAGCGTTTACCACTGGCACGCCCCCGGGGAGAAGCGAGGCTGTGGTCCCAGCCATGGAAAAGGCAAGGAAGCTCACGCGGGGAGGAAATCAAAGTGTCGGCCCAGCGCCCAGGTCTTCCAGGTCCCAAGCTCACATGTATCTGCACTGCATGGACACACACACTTACTACACACACTGTACGGACACACGCACACTTATCACACACACTGTATGGACACACGCACACTTATCACACACTATATGGACACACACACTTATCACACACACTGTACAGGCACACACACTTATCCACAGTGACTCGTGGAGGAATCTCAGCTGATTTACAGGGGACCATCCAAAGCCAACCCCTGGGCACCTGCTCCACCCTCCCCCTCCTCTCGCCTCCCGCCCCTCCGGCCCTCTGGAGCTGAACGCCTCTGCCATCTAGTGGCCGTGGTGATACAGAACTTCCAAACCAACGGGACATTACCTTGGCACAGAGACTGGGCCCCAGGCTCTCGTGTCAGAGTTCCCCACAATTCTTCCCAGACACTCTGCACGCCAGCCAGCTAAGACATGGTTTTCTGGAAAACTCAGCCCCCTACCCACTCCCGTGCTCTCCCTGTCTTTCCCTCGGTGCCTGGGCATTCCAAAGCCACAGAATTTAAATCAAGCAGTCACACGATGTGAGGGCTGTACACCAGGGATTGAGTTCATCTGGTCTGGTCACTTCACAGACGCAGAGTCACTCAGCAAGCCGTGACATTGCAGACTTCCTCCTGAGCGAGCACCGGAGGTGAGAGTCCCACGCTGGCAGAGCTCTCGGGAGCTTCCCAGGCCTGGCCACGGCCAGGGCCCCCAGGATGCGACACGGCTACCCCCAGTGTCACACCCTGAGTCTGTGGCCAGCTGCTGAGAGCCTGCAGTGGCCCCATCAGGCACCCACCTTCAGCTTCTTGTTATCCTGTGGCTCATCCACCGCATCGGCCCCATCGCCCGGCTGCAAACAGGGACAGGAGTCACAAGAAGTGGAGGAGAAAGTCGCCCTCTTTGTCCCTACCTCCCCCCCTCTCCAGGGGAATCCTCAGGTTGGGACACAGAAATACGCCCACAGAGAACCGGGTCTCAGCAGGCGTGTCAAGGCGCCCAGCCCCGCCTTGTGCGTTACACCTGCGTGCCTCGCTCCTGCCGGCGAGCAGCGATGTGCAGGCTGGCCCAGCAACAGCACTGACTTCCCGCGCCTCGCACGCGCCACCCTCTTCACCCCAGGGCTCCTTCCCCTGCCTCCAGGGGTGGGGTGGGGGGCTCTGTGCAGTGCTCTGCCACAGTCCCCTCTGCTTTCCCTCATAGCACGTCCTCCGGTTTCCTTGTGTGTGTTCACACACACACAGGTTGACGCCCCTAGCATCTGGAAGGCAGGGAAACACCACTGAGCCGTCAGCAAGGCTCGGCCATCACTGTCCTCTAAATAAACTTAAGTTACTCCAACACCTGTTGCTTTGTTCATGCCTATTCCAACGCCTAAAATGCCTTCTCCATTCCTCTGCACTTTGCTTTTTTCCAGAAAATCCAGGGTGAATTCCTGCAGTTTTCCCAAATGTCCCCTTCCACCGCCATCCCACCTGCACTCCCGTTCACTACAACATGGTTCCCCTGGAGCGCTGTGTGACAGCAGTGGGCACCCAGTGTGACACTAAAACGTGCCTGTGCCATCAGACAGGGACTGGTGTCTCAGGGCAGCTGTGGGGCAGGCCTGGGCCCCTCCCAGGTGCAGCAGCAGCCAGCCCTCCGTGCTCCGGGTCTGCTGTCTGCACAGCAAGCTCACACTTCACATTCACAGCCTTGTAACGCCATTCGTCCTTAAAGACAAATCACCGTGTAATCTGTCATACAGGAGGCACGCGGTGAGCTGGCAATACGTCCTCCACGTCCTCTGTGTCCTGGACACAGCAGGTACTCAGGAAAGGTGGGTTCCGTGAGTGCACGCCGCCAGGTGGCCTCTGTGCTCTCTGGACCTCCCGTGGCTTCCCTGCCCCCAGGCCTCCGTGGCTGAAGCGGAACGGGACTTGCTATGCTCCTCTCTCTTCAGCTTAGAAAACACAGAAAGTAAGGCCGGTGCCGTGGCTCAATAGGCTAATCCTCCACCTTGCGGCGCCGGCACACCGGGTTCTAGTCCCGGTTGGGGCGCCGGATTCTGTCCCGGTTGCCCCTCTTCCAGGCCAGCTCTCTGCTGTGGCCAGGGAGTGCAGTGGAGGATGGCCCAGGTGCTTGGGCCCTGCACCCCATGGGAGACCAGGAAAAGCACCTGGATCCTGGCTCCTGCCATCGGATCAGCACGGTGCGCCGGCTGCAGCGGCGGCCATTGGAGGGTGAACCAACGGCAAAAGGAAGACCTTTCTCTCTGTCTCTCTCTCTCTAACTCTGCCTGTCAAAAAAAAAACAAAAAAAAAAAAAACACAGAAAGTAGCGCCTGCTCCAGCACCCGCCCATCCTACGTATGCATTCATTTCAGTTCCTACTGGCTGAGCACCACTATTTCTTTGGCACTGTGCTGATGGCTTTAGAGATACAGAGAGGTTTAGGACGCGGTTCTTTGTCTGGAATTGAGACCGCTGCCGGATGCATAGAAGGAGAGGCATTGACCAAGGTGCCGTACTGGGCAAGTGTGGGACTGGGGTGAGTTCTAGGGGACTGCTCGTGCTCAGACAACGCTGACTGCACATCAGACGCGTGACACGGAGCAGAAATGAGCGCTCTGAACAGCAAGGGGCGCTGGGCGATGCAACAACCCCCCACCGGTCAGTGTGGTGCGACACAGGAGGCCACAGCACCAACCCCCACTGGCCGGCAGTCTCACTGTTTGTCACACCCAACCTTCACCCAACGAGTTCTTGTTAGAAGGCAGGAACTGGGCAGGGCCAGGCTACCCTGTGGGATGGCTGGTTCTGTACACGGAGGGACAAGAGAGACTGGTCTTTGTCCCGTGGTGCACAACCCCAAAGACTTCTCTGCCCTTCAGATCCACTCAAACCAGTGCACTTCTCTGGTGTGTGTGTGTGTGTGTGTGTGTGTACACGCAGCAGTCTCTCCCTTACCATGGTTTCACTCTCTGTGGTTTCAGTTACCCTTGATCAACCAGGGCCTGAAAATGTTAAATGGAAACTTCCAGAAATGGATAATTCCCAGATTTAAAATCTCATGCCATTCTGAAGAGTGTGATGAAATCTTGCATCACCCCACTCTGTCCTGCCTGGGATGTGAGTGACGCTTAGTCCAGTGCATCCACACTGCTGACACTGCCCCTCCATCATTTGGTTAGTAGCCATCTTGGTTATTAGATCAGATCAAGAACTTTGGTGCTTATGGCCCCAAAGTGCAAGAAGAGTGATGCTTACAATGCAAGCGCCATATAGAGAGGGGTTAGTGACATCTAAGGTTTCAGGCATCCGCTGGGCATCCTGGAACACATTCCCTGCAGATAAGGGAGGACTGGCCTGTGTGTGTGCACATGTGAGTGTGTGTGCACATGTGATGTGCATGTATGTGTATGCTGAATGCCCACAACAGCCTCCTAACTGGACTTCTAACTTCTGCTACAATTCATTCTCCGAACAGCTGTTAGGGAGTCACCATTTAAACGGGATTCTCATTATGTTATTCCCTGTGGAGCTTCAAATAAGCTCCAGGCTCCACATGTGACCCCTGCTCCCACGCTCCTTCCTCTCCTGGGGCACCCTTCACCACGCTTCCTCTGACGCGCTCTCCATACCAGCTCCACTCTTCCCTCTAACGCGTCAAGTTCTGTCCCAGCCCTGAGCCTTCGCAGGTGCTATTCTTCACCCAGGAATCCTTGCCATGGAACATGGGATGATTTTCCTCCTCATCCCTACACTCCTCTGAGAAGCCTCCCCTGGGGGCAGGCACTTGGCACCGATGCCCGTATCAACAGGGCTCGGGGTCCAGCCCTGCCTCTTCTTCCAACCCAGCTTCCTGCTAATGCACACCCTGGGAGGCAGCAGGTGACGGCTCAAGTACTTGGGGCCATACCAGCTACACGGGAAACCTGGATGGAGCTCCTGGCTCCTGGCTTTGTCTTGGCCCAGCCCTGGCTGTTGCAGGCATTTGGGGAGTGACCCAGTGGGTGGGAGCTGTCTGTCTGTTAGTCTGTGTATGTGTGTGTGTCTTCCTCTGCCTTTCAAATAAAGTGAAAATTATAAATAAAAATATTTATAAAGTAAGTCCCTCCTGTTCTTGCTTCCTAAAGGGACTGCTGCCTCCAGTCCCTCCCTGCCACACACACTGTTTCTCTCATTCAGCACTGTCACATCCTGAACTTATCTTCTCAGTTCATTGTATTTATTTATAGTAGGTATGCCCACTCCCCACACTGAAAAACTTCCTGCTTCATATTGCCAATAAACTCAGGTGGCAGAACACATAGAAATCATGCTATTCTTTTTGGAATACCATGAACAACTGAATTCCTATTTATTCCCTTCAGCTGCACTAGGAGAAAACATTGTGTTGTGGGAACGCACACAAAAATCTCCCCTACAAGCTTACACACATCCACAAAAACAAGCTGGTGGCCTAGGTGTGGTCAGGTGTTTGAGCTTTGCTGTGAACGTTTGTTTCTCACACATCCATTTTGTCATCTGCTCGCACCCACTAGCAGGTGAGTGCTGAAGGCTGAAGAAAATTATAAGAGGAAAACAAACCTTAACATTGAGAATTCTACTCTCACTATCTTTTCCTGACAATTGGAGTGAAACCGGCTACTGTTCAAGAAACAGAAGGAGGGGACCCCTCTGCCCAGTCTAGGACAGGTTCTATGGCAGCGGAATGGATTCCCTGGAGCTGAGAATGGGCAGTGCGGCTTCCTGTCCTCAGCTGCCACCCCGCACTCCCCAGCCCCCGGGAACACACATAGCAGGCAGTTGGTTCTACAGGATGCTGAAAGGAGTCCTTGAGGGCCAGCGCTGTGGCATACAGGTAAAGCTGCAGCCTACAGTGCTGGCATCCCATATGGGTGCCGGTTCAAGTCCCAGCTGCTCCTCTGCCAATCCAGCTCTCTGCTATTGCCTGGGAAAATGTGGAAGATGGCCCAAGTCCTTGGGTCTCTGCACCTGCTTGGGAGACCCAGGAGAAGCTCCTGGCTCCGTATTGGCCCAGCTCCAGCCATTGTGACCATTTGGGAAGTGAACCAGCAGATGGAAAACACCTCTCTCTCTCTCTTTCTCCCTCCCTCCCTCCCCCCCCCCCCCCCCCCGTCTCTCTGTAGCTCTGCGGAAGGAAGGAAGGAAGGAAGGAAGGAAGGAAGGGGCTTTTGGGATAAATCTGTCAACACTGACAAGGATAGGGAGGACCAGTCCCTAAGGAGGTTTGTCCACTTGTGGTCTTGCTGGTTGATTAACTAAAAAAATATTCTACAAAGAAGAAAATAGCCTCGACTGCATTCAGGGAAGAATGGAAGGATTTTCCCCCAGAGTTTCACCTTCCAAGGTATGCCTAGGGGCAGAATGTGGGCGTGGGGCTTCCCAAGGAGCCTGGAGAAGGCTCGTTCTCTGCCTTGCAGCCCCCTTGCCGCTGGTACGCTCTGGGGCTGCCCTGCCCATCACACAGCTCATGCAGGTGTTGGGCTCTTCCTAGCTAATCATAAGACTCTGTGTATAAAGAAGGGGCCCCCAACTGGGCAGGCCCAGGGCATGTCAGAGTGTCCGGGTTCAAGTCTTGGCTTCCTGCTAATGCACACACTTGGAGACAGCAGGTGATGGCTCAAGTAGCTGAGTCCCTGCCATCCACGGAGGAGACCTGGGTTGAGTTCCTAGCTCCCAGTTTCCTCCTGGCCCAGCCCTGGTCTTTCAAACACCAGCAAGGCATTTCAGCCAGCCTCATGCCTCCACCTCACCCCCTGTTGGCTTTCTCTAACTATGCGTGATCAAAACAGGTCCAAGATTCATCATTTTTGACCTGAGTAAATATATTTAGAGCTTTTAAACGGAGTATAAAATCTTAAAGAGCGCTGAGTTAGACTCCATTGGTAACTATATTTACATTTGCCATTTCCTTACTGGGGTCATGAAAGGCACCCTCAAGCCAACATATGTCAACCTGACACTGTTGTCTGCAGTGTTTGTTTTTCTTTTTAGCCAGTAACAAGAGAGACTCTGTAATGCATAACCTAAGTCTGTGTTTGACACTAAGTCATTGGTCTTTTTCTAGAAACGCCCTTCGGTGTGTGCTGATTAGAATCAGCTCCTGTAGTCCTGATTCTGGACACTCAGAGCAGGGTAAAAGGCAGCAGACTCCAGCTGGGATGCCCATCTGGGAACGGCGGGAACGGGCCGGCGACTCTTCAGTAGAGGAGGAATCGTTCTCTGCTGGCTGTGTGTCAGGGAAGAGAACACCCAGCGCATGCTGCGCTCGGTGAAACACCTGCGCCGCTCCCAGTTGTTGGTTTATCTGGCTGCTCTCAGCCTCAGCGACAGGGCTGCGTGCTTGCGGCAGGAACCTCACAGCGGCAAAGTGTGAAAGATGCGCCGTCCAGCCTGTACAGGAAGCTCTTGCCAGCTCCTGCCTCAGTTCACACCCCTGGCATTGCCGGTGAGCAGAGCCAGGCGGGACTCGGTAGGCTCGCTTCAGTTAGTGCTGTCTATGCCTA